TTCTTGTGAATCTGTATTACCGGCGCGCCGGTGAAAATGTCAAATTTTTATGTGAAAATCGAAACATATCCCTTGAAAATGGACTAACAACAGTTTTTCACAGTGAAAGTAAAGAAAATGTTGGTGGAGTTTGCACCCAAAATTAAGTTAAATCTAGTTTACTGTCGGCGAAATTATTAGGCCAGTACAATTTTCATATAAACTCTTCAAATATTGGCGTTGAGAAACTATTTAATACTTTCGTATTTTTGTATTGCGATAATAAAATAATTTTTAAATTTAGCATTATTTTACAAGAAGAGCACTTTATTTTAACGATTGTAGGACATTTGACAACTGTCAACCAATTTCAGCACGTGACTAAAAACCTGTTGCTAACTTCAGCCCGTGACTAAAGCGCCATAAAGCCATAGCTTGTTATATAGCTATCCTTATTGTTAAAAGTATTTATATACCCTTGCGGTTAAATTACTATTTTATCTATAAATCTTAGTAGATAAGAGGCTCTAAAAAATTAATTATCAAGCTTTTACTTAAATTTTACTTGACTATTAAAGATTATATCGCCTATAGTAAAATCGGAAAATCCTCTAATTTTAAAATCAAAAAAAGTTTCCCTGTTATTTATAAAGAAAAGCAATACCCCCAAAAGAACGAGCATTAAAAGGGGTGCACAAAGTGCAAATAACTGTTTTTTTTCTTGTTTCTTAAACAAACAGTTTAAATATCGGTGGGGTTACAAAGTCCCTTCAATGGACTCGTGGAACAAATATTGGCACTTAACTGATTTTCGTGCGGGGCAAGAAAAACGCTGTTTGAAATGGACCGAAGTTTAATAGAAAAGTGATCGATCAATAGAAATGTTCGTCGACTATTTTAATTTTAATGTCAAATTAATAAAATTGGAGGTGGATTGTTTGCTAAATAAATTCTAGTAAATTGATAGTGTTTGTTTGATGATTTAGTTGTTTACATTGATATGATTTGGCTTTATCTTTAATTAATAAAAAAACATGTGTATTAATGTCTATAGTATACATATAGTATGTGAGTTACACGTTTCAAAATACTGTGAGTAAAAAATTCGCTTCATTTTACTCTTTAATTGAATGTTGACATTTTAATCAATATACAGTTCATTTTTTTTAATCTGGACTGTTTTTTTTAGGTTGGTGGCTTATGCCAGTTTGACTTGGTATTTTTAGTATTTAAAAATGGTACTTCTGCTAGAGAATTTAATTAAATACTTTGACACTGTCAAATTGACAATAATATTTATTATTGATAATTTACTTGTCAATTATAAATAAAAAGATAATTATGCCAAAAATAATGGCAACGAATTCAAATGTAAAAGCCCTTTTGAGGGCAAAACTTCATTTTGATGAAATTATGCCAAATGCCACAATGGAAGAAAAATTACATTGCCTTAAGGACATTTTTGGAGTAAAAAAGTAACGAATTTGGTTTTATAAATATTACATCACACATTATTCACCATTGGACAACATTTACGTTCACAAAAAAATTTATTTTATACAAATTCTTTTCAAAGCGAAGATTATTATCCGCTAGGAATACTTTCTCTTCTGGGCCGTAAAGCAACCTATATTTAACTACTTTTTTATATGATTTTACTCATCCAAGCACCACCAAAGCCAAATTAATTGCATTTTTAACTACGAATTTCGACAACTCAACTTGACAACTGCACAATGTAACCTACAATAATTTATACATAACCACAATTAGATTTATAACTAGCTTAGTTTGTTTTAAGCAATGCGAGCAACTTGACAACAGTTTTTACCAACCAAAATCCTAAATTTGCAACGTTGCCGCAGTCCAGGTAAAAAAAATAACTTTATGTACCTAAACCTACTAAATTTTTAAAAAGAAACCAGACTGTTTTTTCCAACGTTTTTGAATCAGGTTTTCAAGAAATTCTAACCCAAATGTTTGTTTTAAAATTAATAAAAAAGAATAAAGTTTTAGTACAAACAAAAATGTTAAAATATTGCTAGAAATGAACTTCAAACGAATTTTGGGGTGTTTTTTTGTATGTTGGCAGCATCAACCGCAAGCAGTGCCAAACACAGACCTAATTTCAATGCTTTTAGCACGTGCTCACCCTATCGATTGAACATTCTGCCAAAAGAGCCTCCTGCTGTGATGCCAAACTTACATTTTTTATCCCAAAAATAGGGGATATTTTTCCAAATATTTTTTTGAAATAAAGTGTGGTATAGACATTCTTGTAGAGTATATAACGCCTTTTAAAATAGTACAATCATGGACAATAGTGCTTTAAATATTGTAATGATTATATCTCAAAAAGAATAAATGTTAGAACGTTGAAATTTTTTCATGGAATAAAGTTTTGGTAGCTCAACAATTACCCGAAATTATAAAATTCTAACCTTGATACCTTTTGAGATTTGGTCGTTATGAGAAGTGTAAAACTGAGGTCCATGGGTGTAAACACGGTGGAGGGCGAGAGAGGCGGCGTTGTTTAAAGAGAGCGTCGCGACGCCAACGTCGACCGCGTCGCCGGCTAGTCGGTCTTTTCGGTTGCCAGGCAACCCAGCATCCCCACTTTCCCCATCTTACGGTTTCACCCCGTGGCTGTTTCCCTATACACTTTGCTTGTGTGTGTGCGTGCGTGTGCATGATTCAATTATGTGACACGGCCTCAGTTCTCCTTTTGCTCTTCACTTCTGTGCCGACAATTTATCGACTTATTTCTCGAGTTCGCCTCGCATTGATTGGAGATGATGAGCAGTTTTTTCTCGCGAAAAAGTTTTTTGCGGAATGGTGCAGTGCCACGTATACCGGCTAACCTAAATCTTCACGGTATCATTGATTTAGAATGTGCGCTTTTGGGTTATGGTAAGAGTTGAGAGCACAAGTATGAGTAGGTTTTACAGTTTATATCCTTTTTTGTTAGTTTGTTTTTTAAATGTCATTTTATTGAACAAATTTCAACAATGTGTTCATATAATTTTTAATTATTTTAAATTTATTTGAATAATTTTATTTGATTGATTAGTTTTTTTATTATATTCCATAAAATGTATTCGTTTATTTCTCTAAAATATGAATTTGATTTTTGGTAAACGAAAATTTTATGTTTGATTTGGTGCAGTGCCTAACCTTAATTTTTGGCGTTTTGCCATTTAGTTATTTAAAATTTACCCTTAGGACTAAAATTAATATTCCGTTTAATAATGGGCACACCCTTAAATTTTTTTTTAACATATCTGCAAAAATATGTAAAGATATAATATTTTTTCCACTCCCACCTTTAAAACGCCCTTTATCGTACATGTTTCCATGACACTAAGTGACCTTTTAAATACACATTGACAAGTTGTGGCTTTACGGCGCTTTAGTCACGGGCTGAAGTTAGTTTTAAGTTAGTTGACAGTTGTCAAATGTCATACAATCGTTAAAATAAAGTGCCTTTCTTGTAAAATAATACTAAATGTGAAAATTATTTTATTATCTCAATACAAAAATATTAAATAGTTTCTCAACGCCAATATTTGAAAAGTTTATATGAACATTGTACTGACCTTTTAATTTCGCCGGCAGTAAACTATAACTTAAATTCGGGCACGGACTCTACTGTAAAGTCCTCATAAAACATTTCCCTTACTTTCACTTTGAAAAACTGTAAATTTTTAAGATACATTTCGAGTTATAACCTTTATAATTGTGTTTATAAAATGTAAAAATGTGACATTTGACAGTTTCCCCTGTTGTTTCATAGATGGCGCTCTATACAAATTTTTGATTTAAATCATTTTAAGATAATAATAAGTATTTGTCGTAGAAAAAGTATAGTAAGCACCTCGTTTATAAACTTTTCTATACACTCATTAACTTAAGCACTCGCTCGCAAGCTCGCTCGTGCCTAAATTAAATTCGTGTATAAAATGGCGTTTATCAAACATAATATACTATTATCTACTATCCCATTGACATGTATGTGACTTTTTGGCTTTTGGGCATTTTAGTCACGGGCTAAAGTTATCTTTATTATACATTATAACAATTAACACGTTCGCGACGTAGCCGATTTCGGGAGTTTTAATGCACAGCCGTATTCTGAATTCTGTAGTTTTTAATAGGTAGACAAAAATCATTAGAAAATCAATGAAAAAATTGTCCAATCTAGAACCGCATGTACCACGGGTCATGTACCACCTTTACGTACAGCCGTAACTTGTTTTCTAAGCTTTCCATGCAGCCGTTACGTTTTTAAATAGGATTATATTTAAAAGGCGTCGTGCGCCACCGATGGTACATGACGGCTGTTGGGATCAGCCGTCATGTACCACCGGTGGCGCACGACGTCGCGTGCCTAATAAAACTCGTAACTAAAATGGCGTTTATAAAACTTGATACATATTAACTATTACGTCAGACTTGACAGAAGCAATTACAGTCCCTGTCAGGAACTAATAAAACCATAGATTAAATCTATGAAGAAAAACTAAACAAATATTAACATTAAATTGCATTTTTAAGCATTCTCCAAACACAACATACACACTCAGTGAGTATTCCTTACTAAAAGAATACATATCAATATTTAACAGACATGCTTTGACATAATCTAATTATCTATGGTGTGATGTCAACAGAAAACCATAGAAAAAGGATATAGAAAACAATTTATTAACCATATAAAAACCATAGAAAAAGAATACAAAAAATTAACCAATTCATTGTTGTGATAATCAACTGTTGCACATCATGTTGCCAAACGCATGCTCATTGTTAAAGTAAAAATCGTAAAATGCAAAGATGAAACATTAATTCCTAATAAAACCTTATGGGATACCCTCTATATACCTAACAGATACATTATTTTTGTAGCCAGGCATATTCAAATAAATACAAATAACTTTATATACCTAATTTTGGTTAACTTTATATCTGTAAATAAAAAAATAGTTTATATAATTTACTAAACCTTCTTTCTTTTGTTTCAGGAAACCCAAAACTAAGAAATCATGTCGCTATCTTTGCGCATCAACATTGTCGATCATAATGTTACGAAAACGATTGTTTTCAACCCGACCATGTCGGTGTACGACGCATGCAGAGAAATCCGAAACAAGAACGAGAACCTCGGAAAACGTAAGAAAAAACTGCACTTTTCTAACCCCATATGTTATTTTTTTTGTATTTTCAGCCAGTGACTATGGTCTATTCCTCACGGATGACGACAGCAAAACGGGCGTTTGGTTGGAACCGGCGCGTTCCCTAGAATACTACCTGCTGAGAAACGGCGACATTCTCGAATACAGAAAAAAATTGCGAACCCTTCGCGTAAAAATGCTCGACGGTTCGTTGAAAACCATCATGGTGGACGACTCCCAAGTGGTGGCCAACATGATGGTGGGAATATGCACGAAGATCGGCATAACGAACCACGACGAGTACTCGTTGGTCCTGGAAGATCTGGAAATGCCCGACACCATGGACAACAGAAACTACGGCACCCTGACGCTCAAGAAGAAGAAGGAAGAGCGCGAACGCGACGCCAAGATGGAGCAACTCCGTCGCAAACTTCACACCGACGACGAAGTAAACTGGCTGGATCCAGGGAAGACGCTGCGCGAGCAAGGAATCGAGGAAAACCAAACGGTGCTCCTCAAGAGGAAATTCTTTTTCTCCGATCAGAACATCGATTCGAGGGATCCCGTCCAATTGAATTTGTTGTATGTGCAGGCTAGAGATGCCATTTTGAATGGCACGCATCCTTTGCCGCAGGATAAGGCATGCGAGTTTGCAGGAATTCAGTGCCAAATTCAGTTCGGGGATTACATGGAGAACAAGCACAAGACCGGATTTTTGGAGTAAGTAAAAAATTAAACGATATTTGCCTAACAAATGTATGTAAATTTAATTGCAGTTTGCCAAATGGAAACTATTTAATAATAGGTATATTTTAATTACAAATAACAAGTAATTTCCATAAAACCTATTAAATTATTAATGATGATTATATATAAATATAGTAATAATAATAGAATTTGTAGTTTTTTAATGGTTAAACATAAAACAATTGTTAGAACATTGTTTACTAATTTTTCAATTAAAATTTTATCACTTTATATAAATATTGTTTTAAAGACAAATTATATTTTTATCTAAGAATTACACTTTTCCATAATTTTTACACCCTGCAGCAAATTCAGCGGTGCCAATGTAGTAAAAATATAACGTTAATTAAAATTATACAAATTAAACTAAAAACCAAAAACAACATACAAAGTAAATAAGTAATCAACTAAATTGTTAATTTGTTTTGGTAATGGCAAAATTAAGGTTTAAAACTCATATTTTTTTGTTTAATAAGTTTGCAGCACTAAATTTAAAATGACAATTTTAAAAAGTGTTAAACATGATTTTTTAAATCGTTTTCAAACTCAAGAAACAAAATAGAAACATGTTGATAGCTTACAAATTGATATTACCTATAGTTTTTCTACTCCCACCTTTAAAACGCCCTTTAACGTACATGTTTCCATACACATTGACAAGTTGTGGCTTTATGGTCCTTTGGTCACGGGCTGAAGTTAGCAACAGGTTTTTAGTCACGGGCTGAAGTTAGTTTAATTTAGATGACAGTTGTCAAATGTCATACAATCGTTAAAATAAAGTGCCTTTCTTGTAAAATAATACTAAATGTGAAAATTATTTTATTATCTCAATACAAAAATACAAAAGTATTAAATAGTTTCTCAACGCCAATATTTGATAAGTTTATATGAACATTGTAGTACAATGTTTGTACTGACCTTTTAATTTCGCCGGCAGTAAACTATAACTTAAATCCGGGCACGGACTCCACTGTAAAGTCCTCATAAAACATTTTCTTTACTTTCACTGTGAAAAACTGTCAATTTAAAGAAATACATTTCGATTTATAACCTTTATAATCTGTGTTTATAAAATAAAAAAATTTGATATTTGACGGTGACACACAGATTCCCCTATTGTTTCATAGATGGCGCTCTATACAAATTTTTGATTTAAATCATTTTAAGATAATAATAAGTATTTGTCGTAGAAAAAGTATAGTATGCACCTCATTTATAAACTTTTCTATACACTCATTAATTTAAGCACTCGCTTGCAAGCTCGCTCGTGCCTTAATTAAATTCGTGTATAAAATGGCGTTTATCAAACTTGTTACATAATATACTATTTTTCAGTGGCGTATTTAGGGGGGGGTCCGCCGGGTCCGGACCCCCCCCGGGCGCACATATTTTATTATTTTTATTACAAAAAAAGTTCCTTTTATTTAATATTTTATCGGATCAGAAGAGTTCCTAATTTGTGATTTTTTAGTTATTAAAGCATAGCATAGTATAGTATTTAGGATTTAGCTCCGGGGGGGGGTCCAAAAAAACTAACAAAATATGTATACATATTTAGTTAGTTTTTTTGGACCCCCCCCGGAGCTAAATCCTAAATACGCCACTGCTATTTTTATATTTCACACTTTAAAGTGTGAAATATAATTTCTACAATTGTAGAAATTTTCAATTTTAAAATTATTTTTGAAACATTATTCTTTTACTTTTACAGGTTTTATGAAAATTTAAGTTATAAATTATAATGATTTCATCTTATTTTTAATGATTTCATATTTTATTTATTTATTTTTCCGTTATTTTAAAATAAAAAACACCTTTTTACAGATATATCTAGAAAACAAGATGTTTTTCACAATATTCCATTATTTTTAATAAGAATTTCGAAAACTTTCTTAACACAATGCCTCTCTTTACAGTCTCAAAGAATTCCTACCCCAATCCTACATCAAAATCAAAAGCATCGAAAAGAAAATCTTCGCCGAGCACAAAAAACAAATGGGGCTCGACGAACTCGAAGCTAAAGTGAAGTACACGAAGAACGCTCGCTTCCTTAACACCTACGGCGTCACCTTCTTCCTCGTCAAGGAAAAAATGAAGGGCCGCAACAAACTCGTGCCGCGCCTTCTCGGCGTAACCAAGGACTCCGTGCTGCGACTGGACGAGAAAACCAAGGATATCATACAAGTGTGGCCCCTCAATACGGTGAGACGTTGGGGAGCCAGCACCAACACGTTCACGCTGGATTTCGGCGATTACGCAAATCAGTACTATTCCGTTCAAACGCCCGATGCCGAGCAAATTCAGCAGATTATTTCCGGATACATCGATATCATCGTTAAGAAGGTAAACTTTGTCATTTATTTACTAAATTACTAAATTATATTTGCTTATAGTCATAAAAATGGTTAAAAAGTTCAACTTGGCAACTAGGGTCAGAGCTGGGAAAGTTACTTCTGAAAAGTATCTAGTTTCTAAGATACTTTAAACAAAATAAATTAGTTTCCTCGGGTAACTAGATACTTTGAGTTGAAAGTTTCTTTAGTTACAAGATACTTTAGAAAGTATCTAATATACTTTTTAGTAACTAAGTTACATTTAAGTATGAATAAAAACTATAAAATTATGAAAATTCAACAAGTTGTAGGTTAGGTAATTACTTTGAATCATTCTGGAATTTTCCCAATTTTATATTTTTCTAGTACCTAAGTATCTAAGTTACTTTAAAAAGCATTTTAGTTACTTTAAAGTATCTAAGTTCCTGGAATGTATCTTAGTTACTTTACTGAGTAACTAAGATACTTTTTTAGATACAAGTTTCTGTATAATATAAAAAGTATCTAAGATAAAGTATATACTTTAAGTAAGTATGTAAGTTACTTTTAAGTACCTATCTTTTTTTCAAGATACTCCCAGCTCTAAATAGGGTAAAATTGTGATATATCTAGGGAATGTTTTGAAAATAAAACCAATAATTGACATACGGTGGACAAAAGGCAAAAAAATATTTATTTACTTGTCAAACTTGTGCCAAAGTATGTACCTATGTATTTTTTATCTTTTTTCAAAAAAATATAATTTAGGATACTTTTTATATAATATAAGTTTATTTTTAATCCTTAGTTTTTCATGAAAAATTAATACAGTTTTAAAAATTTGTTTTTTTAAGAAAGGAATTAAATTATTAAGGGGTTACATACATTTGTGCTGGGTCAAAACATCGATTTTTTTTTATTGAATATTCTTACAATATATACTTTTAAGAATATGTACTTAATCATCAATATCGAAGCACTAAAACGTATTTTTTGAAAACTGCCGTTGCCGTGAGCATGATTTCTCAAAAACCAATTTACCGATCGATCTGAAATTTGGAAGTGTTGTTCCTAATTACAATAGCCCCTTCGTGAACAAAGGGATTTTTATTCGGCCGGAAATTTCTATTTTTTCGGCCGGAAAACTCAATTTTTGTACCCTCGAAAATCGATTATTTTGGGAAAATCACCGCCATTTGCGTGAACACTTTTTTTTTTACAAAACCCTTCGTTTACGTTCTAATATGGATTTTTTTTTCATTAAGATCTGTTTGGCGGTTTTCGATATTTTATGCTCACCGCAATCGCTTGAAAAAACAAGACGTTTTGAAGCAAGGGCTGTATTTTCCACAATTTTTCATATTTTGGCATAATTTTTTTACAAATTCTTCGAAACATACCCTATTCGATTCAATATAATTATTATTATACACCAAAAAAAAATCACCAAAAAACGTTAATTTTTACGAGCTCATATGAATGTAACCCCTTAATATAAAATTGTACATATATGTATATATATATAATTGTACATATATGTATATATATATACCTTTCAGTTTTCAAAAAATTTAACGTAAATCCACAAAAAGTAATTAAGGTTAATAATAATATTAATAATAAACTTAATACAAAAATATTGCAATATATTGGTTTACATTTTTAGAAAATAAACTGAAATAATCCTGACTAAATTGCAATAGATTTTTTAAAAGGCATTATATTTTTTGCTTAAAATATTCTCTTTGGTTGTAGAAACAAGCCAAAGACCACTTTGGAATTGAAGGAAATGAAGAATCTACCATGTTTGAAGAAAGCGTCTCTCCATTCAAGTACGTAAAAAAATAATAAAAAAATCAACAATATTTTTTTTCATTTTTATTATAGAGCTACAATTTTGCAACACGAATCGAGCAAAGTGGGAAAAATCAATACAGAATCAGTCGCAAAACCTGCCCTTTTAAGGGCCGGATCAGATGGTGAGTTTATCGTTTATCTAATCAATTTAATTGTTTTTTATTTTATGTTTTTTTTTATTTATATTATTTTATTTTGAATATATTAGGGGAGAAAACATTTACATTAAATACCATGGAATCCCTCCAACAAACCACCATAAGTGGGTCTGTTAACTTGGGTCATGCACCACCTACGGTAAGAATTTTAAGAACAAATTTGTTGGAAAAAAATTAACAGAATACAAACTGTAAAAAAACTAACCTAACATTACTTTGTTCTTATTATTTTTTTGTTTATTTTATTTTGCAGATTCTTACAGAAGAATATGAAATTCTTGATTATGATTTGATAGAATCTTGGTCATACATTTAATAATTTTCATTTATTTTACTAAACATTACTAGCTAATTTTTATTTATTTAAGGTGTAATGGTATCACAATTTAAAATGAACAAAAATATGGAATAAAACAATATTAATTTATTAATGTCACGATTTTTAGAATAAGGTGTGAATATAACAGCCTCATATTTTATGTCTGGTTATGAATGATATTAATTAAAAATAATATAAATTATTACACAATTTATTAACAATAACAAAAAATGAAATATGATGCATTTAAAAACCATACAGGTGTTTAATATAAATAACCACAAAATATTGATGTTCATATCGAGAAAAAAATGCCCTTAAAGTTTCAGCCCTAGAACTTCTCAAGACTTATTTTAATTTTAAAGTTTTCCCATTGAAATGTCATAGGAAGTTAAAGATTAGATTAGCGGTATTTTACGATACCACCATTTACATTACAACCCCTATATTTTCAACCTGTATAATGTCATCAGAGTCATATTTTTAATAAAACACAGTTTTTTTACCTTTTATGGCAAAACGGTTAAAGTTACAAGTAAAAAGAAAAAAATATATTTAAAAAATTTAGTTTCCTATATAAAAGATTTTATGCATTAATCCAATAAAAAGCATAGTTTAAAAGATATATAACATTTAAAAAATTTTGATAAAACTGGTTACTTTATCAATATTTGTCTGTAAAATTTATTAAATGCTCTATATCTTCTAAACTATACATTTTTATTTTTATTAACCTTGCTATAAAAGTATTTTTTACTTTTTACCTGTACCTTTAACTGTTGTGCTTTAAAACAACATTGGACAGTAAAATTTATTAAATGTTTTATATCTTTTAAAGTATGCATTTTATTGCATTAATGCATAAGACCCTTTTTGTAAGAAATTGAATTTTCTATAAAAGTTTTTTCTACTCTTTACCTGTAACTTAAACGTTTTGCCGTGAAATGCAAAAATATTACTTAGGCGACGTATACAGGTCTAAATATATGAATTGTAGTAAAATTGTAGCAAGTTCTTTAAAAGAGCATCCAATATTGTACAAATGACACCTATGTAAATTTTAGTAACATAAAATGTCGCTAAGCTATAGGAAATTTAAAAAAAAAATCTTTATTTCCTGTGTTATTGCAATGGAAAAACTTTAAAATCAAAATTAAAGTACTTAGGAGTAAGATGAAGTATATCAAAATTTTGCTTGGGGAGTGACAAAAAAATAAATGTTTCTTCAAAACAAATCACCCTAATGTACATATTTTGAAAAAAATTAAAATAATATTAACATATTCTGCAAGAAATTTTAAGGTTTTATTCCCTCTGAAAAACTAACAAAAAATAAAAATTGTTTCATGTCTATCCGGATACAGACGGCCGAGTAGGTAGATATAGTTTTTGGAACTGTAAATACTGCTTTTTAATAACTCGTAGCAACAGCTCTGTACATACCACCATTCGATTTCGCACCGCTGTGCTCACCAACACAATTAACTTTTATTTTCGATGGTTAGGTGCAACAAACTAAAATCACTTCGGTTATGTCGGAACCCCAACGAGGCCTAATCTCCACCATATCTGCCACTCAAACGAGAATCAAAGAAAGCGAGATCGAGTTGGAGAGCAAGGCCCACTATCCCGAGCTGGGTACTGACGCGCACTCCAAAAAATGGAAGCAAGTCACTTTGGATACGAGAAAACAGAACGTTGGCTCGCAAATGGCCGCCATGAACGCCGCTACTGCGCAAGTAGTTACCTTAACATCTGGACCGGTGGATGAAGTAGATTATAATGCTGTTGGGGCAGCAATAACAACAATAGGAAGCAATCTACCCGAAATGACTAAAGATGTCAAAGTCATCGCAACTCTTATGGATGATAGCAACATGGGTGATAAACTCCTTGAAGCTACAAGAAAGTTATGCAACGCCTTCAGTGACCTACTTAAAGCTGCAGAACCCGAATCCAAAGAGGTTAGAAAACAACACAATAAAGCAGCAAACAAAAATAAAAAAACTTATTTCAGCCACGTCAAAATCTCCTCAATGCTGCCTCCAGAGTTGGTGAAGCTAGCACTCAAGTTTTGGCCACGATTGGAGAAGAAACCATCGAAAACAAGGAGCTCCAAGATATGCTTCTTTCATTGGCCAAGGCGGTGGCCAATACCACCGCCGCTTTGGTTTTGAAAGCCAAAAACATCGCCTCGACTATGGGAGACGATCAACAGCTTCAGAACAGGGTAATCGGAGCTGCGACTCAATGCGCCCTGGCTACCTCTCAACTAGTAGCTTGTGCTAAGGTAAGAATTCGGTTTATTTTTTTATACTGTTATTTTGACTATATTTTCGTTTTTAAAGTATGTACTTCATTTATGGAAAGCAAGTTTCCAGGTAATAGTAATAGGGGAAAACTTGGACACGCATGTCTATCGTTATATCTAATTATGGCAGATATTTTTCGATATAAATCTTTTCACAGTATCAGGGTTTTAGATTCTTAACCTCACAAGGATATTTATTCTTTATTATGCATTGAACTTGGCACTTTCAAAACACCATAGTATCTACATTATAGGCACTTTCTGAGCAAGTCATTTACACAAATACAGGGTGTCCTCGGAATGACTGGGCATTCAAAAATGCTTGAAAGCCTATTACAAAAACAACAATTTTTTTATCTCTGCGCAGAAATTTCTCTCGGCTCCTCATGAAACATTATCGTGCTCCATCAGTGAAATTAACTAAGAGTTGAGTAAAGAAACTTGAGGAGATCAAGTTCTAAAAAGGAAACTTGTCGGGAAACACCATTTTGAATATATTCTGAAACAGCATTTTCAATGCTGCTCAAAAAATTAATAATGATTTGGGAACCTTCTCACCTTGAGAAAACTATGAATAAACTTTTGAGCATTATTTAATAAGAGTTATTTTACAAATAATTTTAGTAAGCCCAGAAAAAGGTTTTGGCGTTTGGTTCCTTTTTTATAAGCGTTATCCATATATATAATAATAATACTTTTTTGGTATATGTTGCCCTCGATGTTGCCTTAATTTTCATTGCGAACCAAATTTTATTGAATTTTTAATATTTTAAATCATTTTTTTTCTTATACTTTTTTCAAAATTAAACGCATAATATGCAATCTATGTAACTTGCATTTTTTAATTTTAGGCTTAAATTTGACCGAATCTGTTTCAACAAAAAAAATATGGCGTATGTATACTATGTAAAACTAATTTATATTATGTAACAATAAGACTGGTCTGCAACGAAATCCTCCTTCAAAAAATTACATCATAAATATGAAGATTGTAATGCTCTGAACGTTGGCCGATTTTTTTATCACGTCTAGATTTTGTGATATGAATTTTTTTCAAAATATCATAAATTTAGGTATTTTGAAATTCGTTGTATGCGTAATCATTATAAACAGTGTATATACATACAAAATAGGTTTTAGCGAGTCGTAAGAGAAAGTAGTAAAGTACAGAAATTGATTTTTATAGTAGTACATATGCGCTTGCGTAGTATTGGCTGAGAGTTTACAGCACTTGAAAATTGTCTTTTATTTTCAATTGTTTACGTTCTATATCAAATATTTTGGTATATAAGTTTATAAGTTTTGTACAAAGATCATATTCTATATATTTTTGTTAAGTATTTTATGTTTAGTTTATATAAAACTTAAGCCATAGTATTTTTTCACTTTTTTGTAATTGTTGTTACTTTAATAATATTGTTTTTTATTAAATGGACATAATATTTAAAATCTATGTATCATATCATGTACAAAAACAAAGAGGAGAAAAAAATTTTGGAGAACATTGTAATTTGTATGGGCAAAAAAAATCAATAGACAAATTTTAGTCACATGTATCTATGTGGACAAACAGGCGCAATATAGGAACTTATCCGACACTTGAGCCTAAATTTTGCACATAATAAACCCAATTTATAAGCATCTTTTTACTACGGTGGATTTCTTTTTGCACACTTCTGTAGTACTGCATGTTAAACACAGTTCACTTTATTATTATTATTTTTTTTAAATTTTAGTAATTTTAATTTAATGTCAACCCACTATTATGCATAATATTTCGACTCTACATTTTAATGTAGAGCCGATACTAGCTAACAAATCGTCTACCATGGCACATTTAAAAGACACAAACTGGAAGTTAATGAGCTTACCCACACATTTTTTAAACAAATCAAACACAATGAATCTAAAATGCAGCTAAATGGGAACTTTTACGTCCACTTGACTTCATTTGGTAACAAAACGGAAACAGATTAGTAAGGTACAATACTGTAACATCGTGTCAACTAAGTGTGGACCCTAATGGATCCGAATTGTGTTTCCAAGGAGACACGAAAGCGGTGCAAATTAGGCACATATTTATACTTTTGGTCTAAAACACAATTTCCATTCAGACATAAGTTTTCCTATTCCCATCAGTTTTTCAGCAACCAATTTCTAATTAATTTCACTGATAAAATATGATTAATGTGCCAAGGTGAGCCGAGAAAAATATCCGTGTGGCGATCAATATTGTTGTTTTTTATTCCCTTCATCACGAGCACACACTTTTAAATGCCGCACAATCTTATTTCAAAATTGAAAACGAATTTTGCCGCGGGTCACCCTGTATAACATAACATCGCTCAATAACCATAAATTTTCTTTTTTAAAGGTGGTGGCCCCCACATTGCACTCCCCCGCATGTCAAGAGCAACTCACAGCTGCTGTGCGCGAAGTAGCCAAAGCAGTGGAAAAACTCGTTTCCGTCTGCAACGAATCATCGCCCGACGACCACCTAAACAACCAACTGAAAGCCGCGGCCGCAGAAGTAACGCGAACCCTCAACGACCTCTTGAACCACATCAAACTGGGTTCGAGGGCGCGCGCCAAAGAGTCCGTCCACACCGAAGACAGCGTCGAGGAGATCTACACCGCCACCGACAAGCTGCAAGCCGCCTCAGGAGACGCGAACGAGATGGTCAAGCAAGCCAGAAGGCTGGGGCAGGCCACCGCGATGCTCATACAGAGCATCAAGGGCGAGGCCGAGAAGGCTCCGGACTCGGACATCCAGCGCCGCCTGTTGGCCGCCGCCAAGACGTTGGCGGACGCCACCGCCAAAATGGTGGAGGCGGCGCGTCAGTGCGCCAGCCACCCGCAGGACCAAACTTATCAGGATCAGTTGAGGAGGACGGCGGAAGATCTGCGGGACGTTACGATTGTGGCCGCCACTACGCCGGCGTTGAGGGCCAAGTTGGTGGAGAGGGTGCAGATTTGCGCCAAGAAGGCCGTCTCGTCCGCCACGCAGTGCATAACGGCCGCGCAGGCTAGTCACGAGTACAACAGCAACGTGGCGACGAGGGAGGCGTTGCGGAGCGACACGATAGAGTTGGCCGAGCAGATTCCGCCGCTGATCAACTCTCTCAAAGCGAACGGAGCGAGACCTGAAGATAGTCACGTTCAGAGCGAGTTGATGTACGTGGCGGAGGTTTTCTTGCATCCCGCGCAGCATTTCGTGCAGAGTTCCAGGACCGTTCTGCCCACCATAACGGAGCGTTCCGTCACCGAGCAACTGTCGATGACGAGTCAGCAGTTGACGAGCGATTTGGGGGATTTACGCAGCGCTCTCAGCCGGGCGAAACCGGTTTGCCAGGGTTTGGGTATCGAAGCCGCCCAGCAGCTCATCTCCGAGCTGCAGGACGAGCTGAACGAGTTCGAAAGAGCCGTCGATGCTCACCGTTTGAAGCCTCTGCCGGGGGATACCGCCGAAAAGGGGGCGCAGCAACTCACCAGCAGCACGAAGCTGGTTAACCAGGGGGTGGCGCAGCTGATGAGCGCGGCGGCGCAAGGCAACGAGATGTACACCGCGCAGGCCGCCAAGGACACCGCGCACAGCTTGCGGAACCTCACCGGCGGCGTTAGAACTGTAGCCGCCACCACCAACGACGAGCAAGTGCAGAAGAATTTGATAAGAGCGGCCCGGGAAGTCATGACGCACTCGGCCAAGCTCGTCGAAGAAGCGCAAAGAAGCCTGCAATCGGTGAACTTGACCCCTGGGCTACAAAGTGCGGCCAAAGACATTTCCGCCTCCCTAACGAAGACCGTCGCTTGCCTTCCGGGACAAAAAGACGTCGACAACGCCATTTCGAACATCATACAGTTTACGAGCTCCATCGAAGTGAACTTGTTCCCGCACACCAACAAAAGCTACGGCGAACTGCAGCAGGAACTAAACACGGCGGCCGCCAATTTGAACGAGGCATCTTCGAGTGTTTTGACTTCCGTGAAGAGTCCCGTACAACTGGCGTCGTCCTCGAAGGATTTCTCCTCGGCGTTCCAGGAATTATTGACCGTTTCCTTGGAGATGGCCGGTCAGCAAACAGACGCCGGCGCGCAAGGCGAGATGGTGCACTCGATGAAAAACGTTTCGACCTCTTCGAGTGCCTTGTTGACCACCGCGAAGTCGCTATCGGCCGATCCCTTGCTGCCCAACGGCAAAAATCAACTGGCCGCGGCGGCCAGAGCCGTTACGGAAAGCATCAATCACTTGGTGATCGTGTGTACCTCGGCCACGCCCGGCCAGAACGAGTGCGACAACGCCATCAGAAAGATCAAAGCGATGAAATATTTGTTGGAGAACTCCACCGAACCCGTCAACGACATGTCCTACTACGAAGCCCTGGACTCCGTGCTGGAAAGCAGCAAAATCCTCGGCGACGGCATGTCCGGGATCACGAGCTGCGCCAAAGTTCCGGACGCGGAGCGATTCACGGAGCACATCAAGAACTTCAGCAGCGCCATCTGCTTTCTGGTGGAAGCCACGGCGCAAACCGCCTACCTGGTCGGTATTTCCGACACCACCAGCACCGCAGGCCGTCCCGGTCTCGTAGACCAGGCTCAGTTCGCGCGCGCCTCCCAAGCCATCAAGCAAGGCTGCGCCGCCTTATCTTCCCCATCCAGCCCGCAAAAGCACGTTTTAGAAGCCGCCACCATGATCGCCAAGCACACCAGCGCCCTCTGCAACTCGTGCAGAGCCGCCAGTAACAAGACCACGAACCCCGTCGCCAAGAGGCAGTTCGTTCAGAGCGCCAAGGCTGTGGCGAACTCCACCGCCGCCTTGGTCAAGGAGATCAAGGCCTTGGACTCCGATTACTCGCAGGTAGGGTTTTTTTTACCGTTTTTTTTCTTCATATTTTATGTTTTTTTTCAAGATTACAGTATTGGCCATAATTATTGCAACAACTGTAAAAAAATCTAACTCTAAAACGCCATTATTAATCTTTATAAAATTTTGGATTAAAATACTTATATCTTAGTTTAAGTGTTCAAGGGTTTTTCGAGAAAATATTTGTAAAGCCCTTTTATTTAATAATGAAAAAACGTTCGAAAAATAACTTTTAGGAATTTATTTAATAAAAATATGCTGTTAAAGGCCGTATTTTTGTTAGTATACACTAAACATTTTGTACAAATCAAATGAACAGTAACGAAGATTCAGAGATTCAAAGTCGTCAAAAATGACCAATTTTCAGCAAAATAATCAAAAAGGGGCTATTTTTACCGACTTCAAAGCGCCGTATCTTCGTTACTATTTGTTTTATTTGCACAAAATTTTCAGGGTTCACTAAAAAAAATACGGTTTTTGACAGCATTTTTTTTTATTAATAAAATGTTTTCTCTGGTTTCTCCCAAATAATAAAAAATTAAATTATCAATAATGGAAAATTTAATATATCGTCGTCGGGCGTGCAATACCTCCAATGTGATAATATACTTCAAATTTCGTTTATGATATTAACATATTTTTCTGAGCCTTGCGCACATTTTTCTAATACCTACAATGTAAAATCATATTTTGCGCACTTATGCATGATTTAAAAACCGCCAATATTCAATATCAGTTAAACGTTTTTAGTCTCTCCTGTAAAATTTTGGATATTGCACATTGGAGATATTGCACGCCCAGCGACGATATTCTAAATGTAAGGCGTATACTGCAAAAGCGGCCTAACTAAAAAGCAAAAATAATTTTGGGTTTTTATCTTAAAATATTCCTATTATGCGCTTATTAAGTAAACTAGCCTAATAAAGTATTTTTATATATGTAGTAGTAACTACTCTTCTTATTAAAAACACACTTCATTAGGCTAGTTCACTCAATAATAAGACTACTTAAAGACCACAAACCACAAAATGATTTTTGCTTTTGCAGTATACGCCTCATTTCATTTTAATATTAATATACATTTTGCTCAAAATTTCATATTGAAAAAATACTCAATTTTTTTAAAATTGATGTTATTTATTGACAGAGTATGCTTTATTTTTGCGCATTTGAAAAAAACGAAAAAACTACTTTTATTTTAAATTAAAAAAAAACGTTTTTTATAAAATTTTGGATAAAAATACTTTAACTTATATAGTTTACAGTTTACTGTTCAAGGGTTTTTCGAGAAATTATTTTTAAAACGTTCGAAAAATAACTTTTAGGGATTTTTTTTAAAGTAAATACAAAATATGCTGTTAAAGTCAGAAATTCAAAGTCGTCAAAAATGACCAAAAAGGGGCCATTTTTACCGACTTATCTTCGTTACTGTTCGTTTGATATGTACAAAATTTTTAGGGTATACTAACAAAAATACGATTTTTAACAGCATATTTTTTTTAATTAAAAAATGTTTTCTAAAAGTTATTTTTTGAAGGTTTTTTTATTATTTAAAAAATAAAATAAAAAAAAATATTTTCTCGAAAAACCCTCGAACATGTAAACCAAAATTTCATAAATATTAATAAAGGCTTTTTAGAGTTGGATTTTTTTACAGTTGTTGTAATAATTATTATTTCTTATGTGTAAACTACCAAATAATAAAAAATCAAATTTTTTAGTCTCATTCAAAATGTTCAATAATGGAAAATTTAATATATTCTAAATTTAAGGCGTATACTGCAAAATCGGCTTAACTAAAACGCCTTTATTAATCTTTATAAAATTTTGATAAAAATACTTCCTTATATCTTAGTTTAAGTGTTTGAAAAATCACTCCTCATGTGTAAACTCCCAAATAATAAAAAATCAAATTTTTTAGTCTCAGGCAAAAATTTTCAATAATGGAAAATTTAATATATCGTTGTCGGGCGTGCAATACCTCCAAATTTCGTTTATGATATTAACGGCGAAATATGACAGCAGGTCTGAAGTATTATTAAATATTCATCAGAATTTTTTTTTAAATAATCTATATTGCCCTAACCTATACAGGTTATAGTAATTTTTTTGAAAAATTGTTGCAAATGGAAATACGACCTTTTGAAAAATCACTTCTCATGTGTAAACTCCCAAATAAAAAATCTAATTTTTTAGTCTCAGGCAAAAATTTAATATATCGTTGTCGGGCGTGCAATACCTCCAATGTGACAATATACTCCAAATTTCGTTTATGATATTAACATATTTTTCTGAGCCTTTCGAACATTTTTCTAATTTCTACAATGTAAAATCATATTTTGCGCACTTACTTATGCATGATTTAAAAACCGCCAATATGCAATCAATTAAACGATTTTAGTCTCTCCTGTAAAATTTTGGATATTGCACGCCCGTCGACGATATTCTAAAAATTTTGGGTTTTTATATTAAAATATTCCTATTATGCGCTTATCAAGTAAACTAGCCTAATAAAGTATTTTTATATAGAAGTAACTACTCCTCTTATTAAAACACACTTTATTAGGCTAGTTCACTCGATAATAAGAATATTTAAAGATATAACCATAAAATGATTTTTTTTTCAGTAAGGCCTCATTTCATTTTATTATTAATATACATTTTGCTCAAAATTTCACATTGAAAATATACTCCATTTTTTAAGATTGATGTTATTTATTAGCAGAATAGGCTTTAATGTTGCGCATTTGAAAAAAACGGAAAAAAAACGTTTTTTTTTCATGTTTTATTTTAAAATCTGAAAAAAAACATTTTTTTACATCTCTACTTGTAGGAAAGTCGTCGCAGGTGCGCCGAAGCCACGCGACCGCTGTTGGACGCAGTCGACAGTCTGTGCGTGTACGCGAGTTCGGGGGAGTTCGTTTCCATCCCGGCCAAAATATCCTACGAAGGCAAAGTCGCGCAACAGCCAATTATCAAGTCGGGGGAGGCCCTCATCGATTCCTCCTCTGCAGTCCTAAATGCCACCAAAACTCTCATCGTCAACCCGAAACATCCTTCGACATGGCAACAGTTCGCCAGCACATCGAAATCTGTGTCCGATTCCATCAAACAGCTGGTACAAAATATTAAGTAAGTTATTAAAACTCATTAGTACAGTCAAACCGTGGTGAAAAGTGGCCGACCTTGCCTGCTAAAGCACTGTGTATTTTTTTTCATGAATCGATATTTGAAAATCTTAAAACCAAATTTGCACCAACTGACCATTTTTTCTTACAAACATTTACGCAAAAATACGTTTTTTAGTTTTAAGCAAATATTGCACAATAAAAATTAAAAAAGCAAAATTATTTTTTATAAAATTTTCTACTCTTTTTGTTTAAACATATGAGTAAAAAATATATTTGATTGTTTCAATATTATTATTATTATGTAGATATAAAAACTAGTATGTTTTTTAAGTTTCACGTGATTTATTTATTTTTGACAATTTTTGACAATTGTTTCGACTTCTTCAGAATGTATTTGACTTATTATTAAGTGAGTTTATTTAACACAATGTTCTATGGTATAATTTTTTTTGGATCTATGTACCTGAACAATATTTGCTTAATAAATTAGAAGGGAGTAATGATGGAAAAACCTAATTTATTGTACTACAATATATTCTTATTGTGTGAATAATTACGGTAGTGGATTACTCGCGTCTCCTTAGTCACACCAATCTCTATTTTTTTAAATTTTAGAAAATTAATAGGGCTTCAAAATGTTTATCGTAATAATTTACCGTAAAATGCACAGTTTGGTATATATTTGCAAAATTGTGGGGAAAAAATAAAAACAAAATTTTTAATTTAATCATATTTGTTTACTTATTTGTATAAACAAAAAATTCTTTAGACAAAAATTATAGGAAATTTTATAAAAAATAATTTGATTTTATACTTTTTATTTTGCATATGAGGGTACAAGATATTCACTAAAAACTGAAAAAAATGTATTTTTGCGTATATCTTTGTAAGAAACAATTGTAAGGTGGTGCAAATTTTGTTTTATGCTTTTCAAATAAGCCCCTATCAATTTTTAATAATAATAATAATATATTTATTTAGAATCTGCTATAAACGACATCTACAAATTATAGACTAACTTTTTATCATGCAATATTTTAAAAACAAAAATTAGTGTTTTAAATGTTATTCTTTGTTTAACCGTCATAAAATTAAGTACATTTAACATTAATTCTATTGGTGTATATTTATTACACTGTAGAATTATACGTATTATTTTATTTTGCAATATTTAAGCCAAAAAGAATTGTTGCATAATATTGTATATGCTTGAAACATTAAAACTCAATTATCTGCCTATCCTTCTCAAAACGGAAATTTTTTTTATTAATTTTATTTTGTATATATTTAAAGTGACTTAAAAAATTTAATCGATTATCAATTATAACTCCCAAAAACTTAATTTCCTGAACAAGATCAATTTTATTTCCATTTATTGAAATATTTAAGTCTGATTTATTTACCTGATTATTTCCCTCAATATAATATGAACCAATCAAAAGCCTTGAATTTTCGAATAAATTTCGTTTAAATAAGCGATTAAATCACTAGACCTTTTTAACAGCGATTAAATTTTAGCCTCCATATTGGATTTTTGTTTATGATTTTATGGTGTTATTTACAAGTTTTAACAAACATTTTTTAAAAAACAATAAAAAATAAGTTATCTAGTTTACGAAATATCAATTATTACTTATTACATACCTTAAATTAATGGAATTTTCTTTAAAAAAATATTTATAAACTTTGACACATACGTCAGATTTTATGAATGGTCAAATAGTTTCCTTTAATTCGAGAAATAATCTAGACGTATATCTATGAGGCGCCGTTTGCGTCAAAATTATTTTAGGCTTATATAGATAAAAAATTCCACACATACATATGAGGCGCCGTTTGCGTCAAAATTATTTTAGGCTTATATAGATAAAAAATTCCACACATACATGCGAAAATGCAAATATAAAGTTTTTTTTGGTACATATATAGAAATGCAAAAGTTAAGGTACAAATATAAAGTTTTGTTTTGGTACATATAAATGCAAAAGTGCAGGTACAAATATAAAGTTTCGTTTTGGTACATAAATAGAAATGCAAAAGTGCATGTGCAAAGTTTCGTTTTGGTACACATATAGATATGCAAAGATGTGGGTACAAATATTGAATATAATATAATGTTATATAAAGTGTAGCATGGGCCGTTGGTACAAATATAAAAAGTAAGGTTTGGGACGGAGGCGCAAGATGGCGTTTTCAACACTTTTAACCGCGCTTAAACGTACGTCTGTTCTTACTACCGGCATTTAAGTTTCTAGTTTAATGTTTGTTTGTTTTAATTAAAACGAATCGTTTTGTTAAAAAATAGGTAAGAGTAAAAAGTAAAACGGCGTTTATAACTTACCTATTTTCAACTAAACTTCTTTTAATTAAAACAAACAAACGTTAAAAGTATAGTTAATCTATAATACACAATAGAAAATTTAAATGCCGGTAGTAAGAACAGACGTACGCTTAAGTTTAATGTTTGTTTGTTTTAATTAAAACGAATCGTTTTGTTAAAAAATAGGTAAGAGTAAAAAGTAAAACGGCGTTTATAACTTACCTATTTTCAACTAAACTTCTTTTAATTAAAACAAACAAACGTTAAAAGTATATATAATTTTCTATTGTGTATTATAGATTAACTATAGTTAATCTATAATACACAATAGAAAATTTAAATGCCGGTAGTAAGAACAGACGTACGCTTAAGCGCGGTTGAAAGTGTTAAAAACGCCATCTTGTGTCTCCGTCCCAAACCTTACTTTTTATATTTGTACCAACGGCCCATGCTACACTTTATATAACATTATATTATATTCTATATTTGTACCCACATCTTTGCATATCTATGTGTACCAAAACGAAACCTTGTACATGCACTTTTGCATTTCTATATATGTACCAAAACAAAACTTTATATTTATACCTGCACTTTTGCATTTTTATATATGTACCAAAACAAAACTTTATATTTGTACCTTAACTTTTGCATTTCTATATATGTACCAAAAAAAAACTTTATATTTGCATTTTCGCATGTATGTGTGGAATTTTTTATCTATATAAGCCTAAAATAATTTTGACGCAAACGGCGCCTCATATATATCACTCAACCTATAAATTTAATCTGTCAAACTTTATATTTGCATTTTCGCATGTATGTGTGGAATTTTTTATCTATATAAGCCTAAAATAATTTTGACGCAAACGGCGCCTCATATATATCACTCAACCTATAAATTTAATCTGTCAAACTATGCTGCTCAGTAAGTTTTTTATTTGATTTTTTCTTTTTGGAAAATAGTTTCATGCAAAATAATTAAAAATAAAACCCCTCGACCGCTACGCGGTCTCGTGATTTTATTAAATTATTTTGCATTCAACATTTTCCAAACAAAAACCAAACAAAAAACTACTGAACCTAGTTTACCCGATTAAATTCATAGTTCTCGTGATATAATATATGATTAGATTTCTTAATATTATCACAAAGCCAGAAGTAAATTCTCAGAAGATCATTATTCATATTTGTTCTCATTTCTGCCATGTTGTTACCTAGAATATACAACATGGTGTCGTCAGCAAACATAATTATTTTACTTTTGCAATATCCTTAATGTAAATAATAAATAAAATGGCTGCTTATTTTGCCCCTTGAGGAACACCATTTTTGGTTTCGTTTTGTTCAGGGAATTTAATTTAAATTTAAGTTTTTTGCGTTCTTTTCAAAAAGAATTCTTGTAAAATCAATTTTGATTAATTTCATTATAAGTGCGCTTTTGAAATCCAGAAAAACTGCCAATACATATAGATTCATGAAAAACCCAGACAGTGCCTCAACACGCAAGGTTAAACGACGGTTTGACTCGTAATTAAACCATTCTAATAATTTTGTTGTCAAGGTCCAGCTCCCCGGGTCAGAACGAGTGCAGCGTTGCCGCCGAAATTCTCAACGGTCACCTGAAATCACTGGACGTCGCCTACATGGACGCCGTTTCTCAAACCCTAACCCCAAAACGTTCCGCCACGTTGCCAGTATTCAGCCAACAAGTCGAGCGCGCTGCCGCGAGTCTTTTCGACACCATCGAACCTCTGAGGCACGCCGCCAAATTCGAGGCCGAGAACATCGGCCACTCCGTCAATCAGCTGGTGCAATACTTCGAACCCCTGGTGCAGAACACCATCGGCGCCGCCTCCAACATCAGCAACTCCAAACAGCAAGTCCTGCTCTTGGATCAAGCCAAATCGGTCACCGAATCCGCCCTGCAACTGACCTACATAACCAGAGATTGCGGCGGAAACCCAAAGGCTGCGAATATCCACCCCGACATCGACGAATTCGCCAACTCTTTACGCGACACCGTTCAAGAACTCGTGCGCAGCCTGGAAAAAATCTCCACGCAAAGCGGTATTGTCTCCGGAGTTGTGGACAACATAGCGAGATCCATGGCCCACTTGACGAATCAAAGGGCTTCCCTCATAATCTCGGACAGCGGTAGCTACGTCGACTACCAGACCAGGATGGTCAGCTGCGCGAAAGAGATCGCCAAAATCGCCAGCGAAATCGCCACGAAAGCGCCTTCCGACACTCAACAGCTCGCGCCGCTGTCCGCGAGTTTGAGCCACAAGTATCAGCAGCTGTCCAACGACAGCATCGGCGCAGCTTCGGCCGCGACCAACGTGGAGGTCGCCATCAAGCTCAAGGAGGTCGTGCACCAGCTGGGCACGGCTTGCACGGAGCTGGTCCAAGCTGGCGGGCAGTGCTTGATACAGAAGGACGACATCATTCTTCGGCAGATCGGCGATTGTTCGCGCAACGTGGGCGAGAAAGTCTCGTACGTGCTGGCGACTCTGCAATCCGGCTCCAGAGGCACTCAGGCCTGCATCAATGCGGCTTCCACGGTGTCCGGAATCATTGGCGATCTGGAAACGACGATTATGTTTGCCACGGCTGGAAATCTCAACTCAGAAAACGAACACGACGCTTTTGCGGATCACAGAGAGAACATCCTCAAAACTGCCAAGGCTTTGGTTGAGGATACCAAAACTCTGGTAGCTGGAGCTGCTTCATCCCAAGAACAACTAGCTGTAGCTGCGCAGAACTCTGTCACCACTATTGGTAAGTTTATTTTCAGGAAATTATACACTCGCCAGCAAAAAACGGCCACCAGAAATTTTACTGTTGATTTCCTCGCGAACCGCTCATTTTGTTTTTTTCTTCACGTTTCTATCGCTGTTATTAACGAAAATACAGTACGATTATTTTTTAGTATTATGTAGATATAAAAACGATGTTCTTTGAAAGTTTCAAGTGATTTATTTTCTTTTGACAATTGTTTTGTCACATATTCTAAAGAAGTCACTGTGTGACGAAACAATTGTCAAAAGTAAATAAATCACGTGAAACTTTCAAAAAACATTGTTTTTATATGTACATAATAATATTATTATAATAATATGGAGTTTCATCAAGTAAAGGTCGAAACAATCAACGATTTTTTTTTGAACTGTTGGTCGACTCTTTACTAACGATTAGTTAAAAGTGTGGGGAAAAAACGGAAAAATTGGGAGAAAACCTGTTTTTCCCAGGCCTGGGAAAAATTGATTTTTTTCTGTAAATATACAAAGAAATCAACAACAAAAATATTCTGAAGGATAATGAATTTATTACAGAAAAAAAAACAAATTAAACTAAACATTAAATTGAATTGATAAAGAAAATAAACGTAAAAGTTAAATATACTGCCGGTTGGGTCCTTTTCGAAAGTGAAGTCCATTGAAAATATCCATTTACAAAATAATGAATTATTTATAAAGATAAATTACAAAATTATAATTTTATAAATAGATGTGCCAAATAAAACAATAGTTATGTTAATAGTATTAACTTAATACATCACCGAATTTGTTTTTTGCGACCCGGTAAAAGATCCTTACTTAATTATAATAATAAGAATAATCATGTATATATGATTATAATCAGATCAGAATTATTTTCTTTTACCCTTTGAATAAAATGAAAAATTGAGTCGCCGACTCAATTTTTCCGGAAATTGTAAAACCTTAGTAACGATGCTTAAATATACATTTTTATTCAGATTTTAATTTGATCATATACTGAGCGGTTTGCGAGGAAATCGAATTTAAAATTCTGGCCAATTTTTGGTGGCCGGTTTTTTGCCGTTGAGTGTAGTTCCTCATCGATACTAGTGTCGCGAAATAAAGTTTAAGTAATGAATTGTAGCTGAGTAAATTCTCTACAAAAAAAGTCCTGAGGCACTTTTTTGTAAAAGATGATGCGTTACATCTTTTAAAAGCGCTTTATCTCACGAAAAAGTAGAGTAAACGCAATCAGAACTACACGTACGTCATAGATGCGCAGATGTTAAAATTGTAGGACGGGTCTATTATTAGAAAATTTAGGGGCGGTCGTTCACTGGCGTTCGATCTGTTATCTCTGCTAATATATTAATATTATATAATATAATATACAAGATGTCCCAGAAATGCCTCTACAAAATAATTCCACATATGCCTAAAACCAAAATTTAAGTAAATTTTCCTCTATACAAAAGTTGATAATAACAGGGTGTCTAAAATTATTACTTTCTTCTTCTTCAATAGCAAAAAAGGTACTCACAGATTATATGAGGACCCTAGAAACCAAGGTATACAGTGACATTAAAAAAAAATGTAGCTATGTACAGAAAAAGATAGTAAATTTTATTTGGTATCCAAGGGATATAACTGAATTCTATGCTTAGACATATGTTGAAAAACCAAGTCATAAAACAACAAACAATTATGACTCCAAATTACAAGTGTTTTTTTACTTTAAACATGATTATCTCAAAACTAAACAAAATGTCTTATATCCCTTGGCTTCTAGTGTTCTCATATACACTTTGTAAATGTCACTCCAAGTAACCATTTTCGAGATATGTGCGTTTAATTGTATTTAAAATAAATTTTTGAAAAAAATAATAAATATTTTGAAAAAAAAATATTTAAAAACATAAAATTTTAAAATACAATGACGAAGTTAGACAGTAACAGCGTCTCATAATGTATTTTTTTAAATCATAACCTACTTTTAAAAATATGTTTTTTTAAATCATAATTAAATGGGTGCACTGAAAAATTTAAATGCAAATATCTCGAAAACGATTAACATTTAAAGAGTGTAAAAAAGATTAAAAAATATTTTTATTAAAAACGTACACTAAGGCGCTGCCTCTACAACCTACATTAATTATTTTTAAGACATTTAATTTTCCAGGCTTAAAATAACCCAAAAATCAAATTTTGTGCAAAAACGTTTGTTTTTTTTTTAAGTTATTTAATAAAATTGAAAGCTTTGACACGCTGTATTATTTCGGTCTCGAAAAATGTGGTATCATTTTGTACAGGTATTTCAGGGACGATATTATTTTTTAAATTTTTATTACTTTATAATTATGCCTACCTGTACACTGGGGTAAAATTACTATCCTTATTTGTAAGCAAATGTTTAAAATCAATAGAAAATATAAAATCCCAGGTTGAATTCAGGTAATTAAATTTTATACCTAATTCAAATAAATAGTATGATTTATTTCTTAGTTAAGCATTATTATTTGTATCTTTGTGTGTTTAGTGCTTATTTATGTTTATTTTATCTCGGTTTGTACTCTTTGACATCTAAAATGGCATCCACTTCAAAAAGAAAAGGTTTATCATTGGTTTATAAACGGTATGTACATGTGGTTCCCTAAATGCGTTAATTCTACCGTAAAATTTACGCCGTAAATCATTGTCGTTAATACCTAATTTTTTCCAACTTTGGAGAAATGTATGTTTAATTTTCCTACATGTTTATTTCTTCCTTTTAGTTCAACTAGCCGACGTTGTCAAACTAGGCGCTATGAGTCTGACCTCAGACAATCCAGACTCGCAAGTGATGTTGATCAACGCTGTCAAAGATGTCGCCTCTGCTTTGGGCGACTTGATTCACGCAACCAAAGCAGCCAGTGGAAAGCCCATACACGACCCTGCCATGGGTCATCTTAAGGAAAGCGCCAAGGTACGATTTTTTCACACGTAACATGTTAAGTTTGTATATATTTTTGTTGTTGGTGTTTTATTAATAAATCTCATCCATTGATGTTTGAATTTTGCTAAAATATGCCACAAACGCACTACACTATTAAAAAACATAATTCTGTTTACCACAACTCAGGATATATAATTATAACATTGTGTTTCCAGAGTTGTGAAAAACTTTATATCTAAAAATGTTTGAAGTGTTATAATTTATTTACTTTTGGTAAGTACACTTAACTATGATTAATTTCACCATATCTAACATGCATTTATTTGTTAGAGTCACCAAAAATATACGGTTTAAGTTATTTAATTAATAAAAATGTGACCTGGATGTCGGGAATATCATAAAGGTTAGTTGTTTCGAAATTATTTAAGCTAAGACGGGTACGGGATATAACAACGCATTCAGGCTAAATACTATGTTAACAAATCGTTAAAAATGTAAAGCATGAGCTTTATAAATGTTTAAAAGCATGTTACATACGAAAAACTACCAATTTAGAAAACAAAAAAGGTGATTTAAACTGCTGGCTGGCTTTATTAACGTTTTGGCATGTGTGTTGTAATGTAACTAACAAACAATTGTACCTTAACTTGTGGTGGGTGGACTTTAAATAATCGTTATTAATATATTTGACCAATGATATAACACACATGCTAAAACCAAATAAATTCATTAAACATGTTTTATTTAACTGTACTAAAAAGAACATCAAAACATGTGTATTGTTTAGGGTCCACCAGATATTTCGGAAAAGTTACTTTAAACTTGGTGGTAAATAGTAATTTCTAAATGCATTAGTTAATTTTATTTAACTTAATCTTTCATACAGGTATTACTTTAACATGCGCAGTAGTCACTGCGCATGCAATATGCTAATTCAAACTTCACCAAGTTTCGAGTAAAACCACACCTAAAAAGGCATGATAAATTTGATAAAGCAGTGTTCCTTAGGTGGTGGATTTTAACACATGTTTTGATCCACAGCCGGTACCCGATTCGGATACGGATTGGTGGATATCCGATCAAGAGGAGGAACTGATACGTTTATTAAGCGACAGCAAAGAAAACATAAGTTTGTCAGATCAACCGACGCAATCTGACATAGTTCAGTGTTTAGTCCCGGCAACAAATTGATTTTTTGAATTTCTCTCAAACGCATTTTATTCTGTTAAATTAGATGCAACATTTTTAATCTTTTTTTAGAGGGTATTTTAGTCTAGAGGAATAGTTTAAACACATGTTTTGTTAACATGGCAAAACCTTTGTCTCGAAAATTTATAAAAGAAATTATGAATATAGAAAGTTCTTTCAGAAAAAAAAAATTTTAATTTTAAAAGATAATGCTACATGGTGTAATTTTGAGAGAAAAAAATAAAATCCATTAAAATCTCTTTTACCTCTCAATTTTTACTTACCTATTTGTATTTTTATGTACCTACAAATATTTAACAAACAACTTCGTTCCTCTAGACTAGTATAAAACACAACTAAAGTGCCCCTTTAAAATAGATTGATTTTTTCTTTATTGCAAAAGAACCCATCTAGTCGCTTTGTGTGTGATTCTTGTAAAGGCCACTTTCCTACATTTAAAATACATATCATTTATCTAAACGAATTGGCCAGTCCTTTTATAAATCTTATAATATATTTTCTATGATTTTATTTTGCTTGTTTACTACATTAAACATGCATTACATAAAATATTTTCTTATTAATATATAAACATAATAAATTGTGTGGAAAATGTAACTTGTTATTTACCATTCCTTACTCAATCAAAAAAAGTGTATTGGTATGTATTTCGATTTTTGTGTAACTTGTTTAAATTGGTGGCATTTATTCTTTATTTTATTTCTCTGTACTTTTTATATACAGACTAACCAATTTTAGACAATTTCAGCTTTCATAAGGAGTTTATCTAAACGCATGATTGTTTAATATGTTTCATCTTAAAGTGTCCTTATGGATTATTTATTATTTTCAGGTAATGGTAACCAACGTTACGTCGTTATTAAAAACTGTAAAAGCTGTGGAAGATGAACACACCAGAGGTACTAGAGCTCTTGAGTCTACCATTGAGGCTATCTTACAGGAAAGCAAGAGTTTATACTCCACTGAGGGTCAAAGAGCGGTAAATGCTGAAGATTTAGTGAGATGCACTAAAGCCATAACAAATGCTACCGCAAAATGCGTATCTGCTGGAATAAGCAACAAGCAAGACGACATTATATCTGCAGCGAATCTCTCGAGAAGATCCATATCAGACATGCTTATAATTTGCAAGGTAACAACATTAAAAAACTGCAACGTTCCTGTATTTTATTAATTGATTTTCTTATAATAGAGTGCCGCGTATACATTAGCGGACACCCACGAACTGCGCGAGGAAACCCTGACAGCCGGTAGAGTCTGCGCAGAACAATTCAGGGAGCTTCTAATCGCCATCTTGCACAACGGCGGGACACCCGACGTCAAACATATACTTCCAATAATTTCCAGAAAAATCGCGCAGTCCGTCACTGAACTGGTCAGCGTTGCCAAACGTCTCAAAGGCTCTGATTGGGTGGATCCCGACGATCCGACTGTCATTGCTGAAAATGAGTTGCTCGGAGCTGCAGCTTCAATCGATGCAGCCGCCAGGAAGCTTGCTAGTTTACGACCGAGACAAAATGTTAAGGTGAGTTGGGTTTCGGTGATTTTAAATGTTTTTTTCTTAGGTCCGCGAGGTTTTTATTATGTGGTTTTCTATAAGATATGTTTGATATTCTTGGTTGTTAATTTAAAAGCACCCAGGAGTCAAACATATTATTATAGCGGGCTGCGCTTCATCACAAAGGTAAACTTTAATATTTTACACAATGCATTTGTACTTTGCATAGAAAACATTATTTTGAACTTTTAGACCCAGGATCTCGACGAATCGATGAACTTTGACGAAATGATTCTTGAAGCTGCCAAATCCATAGCTGCAGCCACGTCGGCGTTGGTTAAAGCTGCAAGTGCTGCCCAAAGGGAACTTATCGATAGTGGGAAAATGTCCAGAACGCCCGTTTCTTCTTCGGATGACGGTCAGTGGTCGGAGGGATTTATATCAGCTGCTAGGTTGGTAGCTGCAGCTACGCACAGCTTGGTTGAGAGCGCCAACGCCCTCGTACAAGGTAGGCTGCTTTGTTTTTTATTTAGAATAGAACTGGAAACGGATCACTATTTTCCCGACTTTATAAGATTTAGAAAACAATTATTGGTTTACCCAATTATACTAAATATTCCTAAAATATGTTTGAAAAATATAAATAATTACAGAAGTTATTGAAGATTTTTTTAGAAAATATCTTTCATGGAAATAAAACCTTTTCGTGAAATTTTACTTTAAATGAAAATTGTTTAAAACCTCATGTTCATAAAAAACTATTGCAATTAAAAAAAAAATTTTTAACCAAAAAGATTGTTCAAATAAAGAATTTGATTTTTAATATTTTTTTACAATATCTTCTTAATTTTTTTTTCGAAATATCCCCTTGTAACAACCACAACAAAAAACCCGGTATATTCATTACAACAAAAATGTATTAATAAATGAAATTTTTATTTATACTTTGACATTTTAATCACAAATTGCAATATACATATAAACCAAATACAATAAATTTACATACAACTTACAAGTTCTTGGTAAAAACTATTGCATTACAAAAAAGAAAGGCAACCCACACATGAATTTGTTTCAGAATGTAACTTGAGGAGTATTTTTTAAAGTATCTATCGTCTTTTGCAAGCTTATTTCTTTTAATAATTATTATCAATGATATTGACGAGTATTTTAAATCTTTCGTGCCTAGTTAAATCGGGGTTTCAACAATTTAATAATCATTTTAGAAAAATCAAAATTGCAAATTAACCATAGACAATAAAATTGATGTTTTGCATATTCTGAGCAAAAACTTTTAAATATTTTTTGCCCTCTTTGTAACATAATCCGTGGACATACTGTATAATCCAATAGTTGTAATATGTGCAAATAAATATTTTATTTGGTTTATACAGAGTGTCTGAAAAATGTCGTACTAACAACGTTGTAGGGGAGTTATTTTAGTATATACAAAAAATTACCTGACAAATAGTTTTACAGTTATACGGGTTTCAAAATAGAATTTAATTTTCTTTATTTTAATTTTTTAAGAATATTTATGGGGAATTCCACCCCAAATCGACGACTTTTTTTTCCCGACTATAAAAGTTTCTCAGATTTTTTTTAAATTGACTAAATAAGACGGTTTTTAGATGTCAAATTTCATGAAGTTTTTTAGTTTTTTTAGAAAAACCATCATCGCCATTTAAAAAAAAATAAAAGAAGTTCGATTAATTCTGCGAATCATGCTGCTAAATTCAGAGTGAATCGACTTTTTTTCTATTTTTTTTAATTGTTAATTTTTTCCCAGTCGTTTATTTATTTTCTTATAAAAACTTTTAAGTAAATGATATTTTTTAAAGGTGGTAGTATACTACCACCTTTAAAAGGTCCATTATCATACATGTTTTCATGACAATAAGTGATATTTTAAATACACATTGACAAGTTGTGCCTTTGGGGCATGGTTTAGTCAGAGGCTGAAGTTAGGTTTTAGTTAGTTGGCAAATGGCATACAATCGTTAAAATAAAGTGCCCTCCCTGTAAAATAATAATGTGGAAATTATTTTATTATCTTAATACAAAAATAAAAAATATTAACTAAATAGTTTCTTAACGCCAATACATATTTAAAAAGTTTATATGCAAGTTTGTACTGACCTTTTGATTTTGCTGACAGTATACTAGATTTAACTAAAAGCATTAAAAGTATCGGGTGGAGACTCCACCGTGAAGCGCCCTTAAAACATTCTCTTCACTTTCACTTTTATGCAGCACAAATGATATAATACTCTATTTTTTTATAAATGTCGCTCTATACAAATATTAAATTTAATCATTTTTAGATAATAAAGTATTTGTCGTAGAAAAAGTATAGTATGCAACTCATTTATAAACTTTTTTAGACACTTAATTAAACTAATTAAGATTCGTGAATTAAATGTCGTTTATCAAACTTGATTACGCATAATTTATAATCAAACCTATGATTAATGATTAAGATTTTATGGTTACAATTTACAATATTTTAATTTTTTTATACCAATTTAAAAAACGATTTATTTTATTTATTCACAATTCTTACTTGAGCATAATTATACTGGTTTGTGATGAAGGTAATAACACTCTAGTGTCCATCCATAAGACACTAGCGTTTTATAACAATTAATAAAACAAAATACGTCAGAATTCACTCGCATTTATTTATTTATATTTTATTGGCTACTTACAATAAATTAATTTTTTTGGCGTTTAAATAATTTACATATTCGAAAACTTTCGGACAAAAAGACAACCATTTGTGTAATCCTTATTATTAATTATTAGTTTAGATTATAAATTAGTATAAAATATCATTAGTGTAAAATATCATAGAACAATGGTTAAGTAAATACAAAATTCCTGAAAATTAAAAATATCGTTTAATATTTTTAATTTTAACTTAATTAACTAAAATCGAGACGAAACAAAAAAAAATTAAAAAAAAAACAGTATAGAAAATGGATTTTTAGTTTTCAAAGAAAAAAATCATAGTGTGCCGATATGCCACAGCATCAAAAATATTTATTTCAAATAGCGTGTTTTAAGACAAGAAAAATTATTGGTCGTTCGTCGAAATCGCTCAATTGGAACCAAAGTTATGATCGATGACATATTGACAAAATCGTTATAATCATGAAAATTTAAAAAGACATTTCTCCAAAAACAATTGATAATCCGTCCTAAAATCATTAGGTTAGAGATGCGACTTGAAAAAAAACGGTCCGTTTTTTTTGTTTTTTTTTTCAGGTTTTTTTTCATTGTTTTTTTTCAAATGGTTTTTTTTCACATTTTAGGTTTTTTTTCAAGATTAGTCCCATTTGCCTAATTTTTTAGGTTTCATGGACTAAAATTAGCTACTAAATGACAATTAGTAAATGTAAATACAGTCTCGCGCTATGCACGCGCCACCACCACCGAATTGACCAATAAGGGCCGCGCTTGTTTTGATTTGGTCCTAAAAAAAGGAACTACATATAATATTTTTGATTCAGCGATTGATTTTTCAAAAAGCTACCAAAAGGACTTTTTTCATGATTTTTCAAATTCATGTAGAGTATGGATTTTTTTTTTTCAAAAAAACAATAGCAAATTCTTGTAGAATATTTATTCATTGGTGGTAAAGTCAGAACATTTCGTGGACCAGAAAGCCAAAAAAAATTGATTTTTTTTATTACGGTATTTGTTAGGATTGAGCGTTGCACATTTTTCATCTAAAAATCTCAAAACTAGAAACTTCAAGCTTCAAATTGCTTTTTTTACGGCTCCAATACGACCATTTTTAACAAAGATACAGCTATTCGAAGAATCGCAAAACAATTTTTTTTATCCTTTAATTTTTTGTATTGGTGAAGAAGTTTTACATTGCTACTGGTTTCTAATGTGGAAACTACCAAATAATAAGAAATCAGATTTTTTAGCCTCAGTCAAAATTTTCAATAATGAAAAATTTAATATATTCTACATTTCACTTTATTATTAATATATATTTTACCCAAAATTTCATTTTGAAAAAAAAAACAAAAAAAACCGTTTTTTTTCTAGGTTTTTTTCATGTTTTTTTTCACATCCGTTTTTTACATCTCTACATTAGGTACTACACAAACCAATAATTGTTTTTTGTATTCCATAAAAAATGTAAAAACCTAAACAAGAACAAAAAAACTGATGTTTTTTTCACGTAACATCTCTGCTTACAGGCCTTGGTAGCGAAGACAAGCTCATAGCGGCCGCCAAGCAGGTGGCGTCCTCCACCGCGCAGCTCTTGGTGGCGTGCAAAGTGAAAGCGGAAGGCGACACGGAAGCGACGCGCCGCCTCTCGGCGGCCGGAAGCGCCGTCATCCGCTCCACGGACAACCTCGTGAAGGCGGCGCAGCGCGCGAAGAGCGTGGAAGAGGAGCGCTCCCTGGTGCTGAACACGAAAATGGTGGGCGGAATCGCGCAGGAGATCAACGCGAGGTCCGAGGTGCTGCGCATCGAGCGCGAGCTGGAGGAGGCGAGGAACAAGCTGTACGTGATCCGCCAGACCAAGTACAAGAAGGGTTGCGACACGTCCGGCGACGATACGGACGGTTACGCGAGTTCCGTGCACGACGGAGACACCCGGTGAGTCGATAGGTGTGTGTCTATAGCTCTACTAATCTTTTCGGCTTTGATTGTAGGTTTATTGTGTTTTGAGACTGTCGAGGGGGCATTATATCATTAAATATGTAAAAATAAGGGATACACTTTCTTTTTACCATTTAACAATGATATATTATCAATTATTGTCTTTTTTAAATGGTCAAAAATATTTTCTGGTAACATGTCAATTATTTCCTCATTTTTATACTTTTAATGTAAGATGTACCCTTAAAACTTTGAATTATTAAATATAAACATTATTCCATAAAAACTTACATTACGCTAGTTTACAAAATCAAAAAAAAATTCTGCCCACCATATCACATTGTAATTTTCCCATGTATTTTGACCCACTAAACACGAAAATCACACTCATTTTTTTTATGGAAGCATTTTCAATTGTTTTTTTTCTTCAATTTTCGGAGGTGTTTTGACGTTTTTGAGTATAGCTTAAAATCTAAATGATCGATTTGGTCAAACAAGCCCTTAAGTTGAATGTATTTGAGCCCTCTAAAACTTTCTTTTACATACTTTTGATATCGGATAAGTATTTTGACGCTAGCGATTCTAATAACTTATAATTTATTTTATTTTTTTTGTTTTATTTTATAATATGTTTATTCTTTAATGAAAACATAAATAAAGTGCATGATTGGAATTTTTTAATATTGTTTAATATTCAAAATATAATTTAATTTCAATATTAAACGTTTAAAATAAAAATCAATGTTCAATATTAAATTTTTTCTACTCCCACCTTTAAAACGCCCTTTATCGTACATGTTTCCATGACACTAAGTGACCTTTTAAATACACATTGACAAGTTGTGGCTTTACGGCGCTTTAGTCACGGGCTGAAGTTAGCAACAGGTTTTTAGTCACGGGCTGAAGTTAGTTTTAAGTAAGTTGACAGTTGTCAAATGTCATACAATCGTTAAAATAAATTGCCTTTCTTGTAAAATAATACTAAATGTGAAAATTATTTTATTATCTCAATACAAAAATACAAAAGTATTAAATAGTTTCTCAACGCCATTATTTGATAAGTTTATATGAACATTGTACTGACCTTTTAATTTCGCCGGCAGTAAACTATAACTTAAATTGGGGCACGGACTCCACTGTAAAGTGCTCATAAAACATTTTCTTTACTTTTACTGTGAAAAACTTTCAATTTTCAATATACATTTCGATTTATAACCTTTATTTCCCATGTTTTTTTATAGATGGCGCTCTATACAAATTTTTGATTTAAATCATTTTAAGATAATAATAAGTATTTGTTGTAGAAAAAGTATAGTATGCACCTCGTTTATAAACTTTTCTATACACTCATTAATTTAAGAACTCACTCGCAAGCTCGCTCGTGCCTAAATTAAATTCGTGTATAAAATGGCGTTTATTAAACTTGATACATAATATACTATTATATAATTCAATAAAATAAAGAAAAAACGTAAAAGTTATCGAAAAACTGAATTTTGGTCTTCCACTGAAAAATTCATAACTTCGCCATTTATGCCAGGATTTTTATAAACAGCAGCTTATTTTTTTCCTTTATGTATAATCTATACGTAATATAAATCAAACTAGAAATATCTTTCGATTTATATCTTTCCCAGAAAGATATGTAAATTTTAGACCTCGATTTTTGTAAAAAAAAAATATCCAGTATCGAACTACTGAGCCTTTACCAAAACTATACAGGAGAAAGTTGTAGAGGGCTCAATTACCTTTAATTTAAGTGCTTATTTGGTCAAATCGATCAATTAGAACTCGAAGTATATTTTAAAACGTCAAAACACCTCAGAAAATTAAAAAAAAACAATTGAAAATTTATTTCTCGAAAACGCTTCCATGAAAAAAATTTTAAGTGTGATTTTCGCGTTTAGTGAGCCAAACTACACAAGAAAATCATAGTGAGACATGGTGGGCAAAATGGCTGTAAACTAATAATTATTAACGTGTAAGCTTATATTTTAATGATTCAAAGTTCACTTTGCGAATGCACCTGCACGCATTTTCTGTAGTGGAGTCGATAATTTTATGCTCCTTCAATTTCGTTTACTAATTGCAACGTTTTTTGCATGCACCTTTGTTAAGATGGTAAGAGATTGTTTGGTAAGTAGTTACGCAAAAAAGTGATATCAAATCATGTTTATTTCTGTGCTTATAGGCGAATATACTTAATAATGCCTTAAATAATCAGGATTTAGTTGCATTAGAATAGAAGTATTTTTTGATAGTTTTGTAGCAGCTTTAAGGGAAATAATTATATAGCATGATTTACATGAACATTTTGGTGCATGGTTTATACATTTTGGAATATTTGCACCACATAGCATTTTTCATATATCTATTCTTTTTCATGCTCACATTGTGTTATTTAAATTATATAACATATTATGTTTTTTTATTACTACACTATAGAATTTGTCGTAGAATTTTTAATTAAGAAAAAATAATTGAAGGGGTGAGAAGCAAAAGGGTAAAAGTGCAAAAGAAGAAGTGGAGTTTTTGTTATATATATAATCTGGATACTTGTTTTAATGTTTGCATTAATACGTACAATTTTCACGTTATGAGAAAATTAAAAAAAAACTACCCAATTCTGCACTTAACTTATTTTTATGCTAAAATGCACTTATTGCCTCTTACGCCTTTAATTGAACAATTGTTGCGTAAATTTTACAAGGTTTTAATAGTTTTTACATGGTCTTACATAATACCATACCATAGATTTTGAGATAAAGGGTGTTAATAAACTTTATAAAAAATTATGGTCACGTCACTGTTGCTTAATATAAAAATGTTATTAAACTCAACACAACAAGCTCTCTCGTTTTGCGCATACAAAACGATTTTCAATTTGTATAAACAGCACAAGAATTGTAAACATTTTAAAAATGTCCGCCTTTAGAGTCTGTGCAGTGGGTTGCCTATCTTCGTGATTTTCGTCCTTGATGTGTGGATTGTGGTTAAACTATTAAAGTTTAGTCCAAGGCCTTAATTTTAAATGGACAAAATTTAAGTATTCACACATCTTAATAATTAAAATCTCCACGAAATTAGTTTGTTTTACTCAATGTAGCCAATTATAAATTTAAGGTCCCTAATATTTGTCAACTAAACCCCCAAATTTTTGACCTTAAACTCCGAATAAAAAAAATTAACTTTAGTTTTAAAAAATAGGTTTAGTAAACTTTAAACATTTAAAAAATGATACAAAATTTTCAGAAAAAGTAAAATTTTAAATTAAACATAAAATTTCTGAGGAGTTTAAATATTTTTTTCTCTTAGTAACCCCATCTGTGGACATACTGCAAGTAGAATTAATTACTGTGGGTCTTATTTAGTTTTACAAAGTCTTTACTCCTCACTTTATCTTAGTATTTTTTAATTTTGAACTACTGTGCAAATTTGTAGTTTTTTTAATGATTGATACCTACTTTTATAAGAGCAGTTTCATTTTTTTTATAATAATTAACAGAAACATTAATTTTACTGTGTAGTTTTAAATTACCCAATACATCTAACATCTTACGCGTGAGACTCAATTTCCCCCCGGTCGTAGCATAGATGTTTACATATCTAAAGCATTTTTTTTTGTATACTTAATGGTTTTCTTACTCAAATTATCTACTTTTTCGACCCAAAAAAGTAAAAAATACAGAAATAGGTTCGTAAAACAAAAAAGACATTGCCCTTTACTGCCTATACTGCCGTGCTTAATGAAAACGCCGCACAGTGGGCTGGAGATCAAATTTATCGCGCAGAAATTATTTGGTAAAGTAATTCTTAGTTAATATTAATTTTTTTGGTCTTATTGATGAAATTTTAATAAAAATTACTTTCTACTACCAATATAAAAACAAAACCACAATATAATACTTTAACAACAAAAGTATATATGTGTGATGGCAAAATTAAGATCTATAGTTTTAATGACTAAATTAAAAAAATATAACTGAACATTTATAAAATAAAACCTAATTGTTACGTATGACAGTATTTTATACAATAATATTACTTCTGGCCTTTCAGCGTTTTTCTATATTTTTGACAAAAATTAAATTTTTGAATTAAGTTTTTTCCGAGATCCATTAATTTTTGAAAATGCATAGTCTCCTAAGTAATTTAAAACCAACTTTCTATTAAAATGCTTCAAACAAAAAATATTTGTGGCGCCTACTAGCACTTGATTTTAGATTTATTTAAAAGACAGAACAGTAAGCTATTAAAAACACTTAACAGAGAGTGTGAGAATGCGTGACATTTTTTAAAACGTTAGTATTGTTCATACATACATAAAAAATATGCAGCGCTTTCTTTATTGACGTAGGGACAGTACAATAATTATAAAAACTTAGCATTATTTGTTCCAGCCATAACGTATGACAGTATTGAATACAATGATGGTAAAAATTAAAAATAAATTAGGAATTAACATTGTAAGAGAAGCAAAACCTTCACCCGTAATTTACCAACACAAAGCAAGTAATTATAATTCTTAAACTTTGACTGGTTACCTGATAAAAATTCAACAGATTTAAAGGTGATACTACATTATTTGATTTGCTACAGATATTAAAGAATTCAAAATTCACTAAATTTTGTCGAAATAAAACACTTACTCATTTTAAATTTTCGCCCTCTGGAAGTGCTCTCTAGCCTACCGCGGTGGTGGCAAAAAGTATTAATATTCACTAATAGTTATCAGTAATTAATTCAAAATTATTTATTGTTATTAGTAGCTTTTTAATTGATGGTTTCCATCACCAATGTATGACAATATTTAATACAATGATATTTGTTCTGGGCTTCCAGCGTTTTTCCATATTAAAAAAAAATTGAATAAAATTTTTTTTCGAGATACATCTATTTTTGTAAATGCGTAGTCTACTAAGTAATTTAAAACTAATTTTATATTGAAATGCTTCAAACTAAAACACTTTTCACAAAACTCCGTATGAGTTAGGGATAATGTATTAACTGAAAAAAATAAACAAACCATATTTGTTGCGCCTACTAGCACTTGATTTAAGATTTATTTGAAAGACAGAACGGTAAGCTATTAAAAAAACCTAAACACGGAGTGTGACAGTGAGTGACATTTTTTAAAACCTTAATAATGTCCATACATACATTAAAAGTATGCAGCGGTTACTTTATTAAGGTAGTGAGAGTACAATAATAATAAAAACTAACCATTATTCGTTCCAGCCATAACGTATGACAATATTTCATACAATTATAGTTAAAAAGTAATAATAAATTAATAATAAACATTGTAAGAGAAGCAATACCTTTACGCGCAATTTATCAACACGAAGCAAGTAATTATAATTCCTAAACTTTGACTAGTTACCTGATAAAAATTCAACAGATTTGAAGGTGATTTAAAGATGTTTCATTATCTACAGATATTAAAGAATTCAAAATTCCCTAAATTTGGTCGAAATAAAACACTTACTTATTTTGAATTTCTTCGCGCTGGAAGCGCGCTCTAGCCTACTGTGCGCCGTAACCAACAATTTTGCGATTTTTGGTTTACGGCATTTTCTACTAGAACAATTAATCCTGCGTCTATCCCCGGTACTCAAAAAACCGTATCTATATATATAGTATGTATATATTAAGCACGGCAGTATAATTATTATGTTTTTAATAATATAATTGCATTTAAATTTGTTATAATCTTGTAACCTTGTGGATTTACGTGACCAAAACTAGCAAACTCATGACCCCTCTTGACAAATCTCCTTTTATAGGTACCAGCAAGGTTATGACAGCTCGCAAAGCTACTCATACTCAACCCCCACCAAACAACACTACCAAGACTCGCACTACAGCCATCTGGAGAGTCCCGAAAAGGTGAACTCTCTCGAACGCACCAAACAAAAAAGACACCCAACATCGAACACCTTGCAATCGCAGATCGACGACCTCGACTCGGCCGTTTACGGCGGCGCCAACACCTACGGACAAAACAACTACGGCGCGCCGTACAGCGACCAATCGCAAGGCGTCTACGGTCAAACCGGCGCCTACACATCACCAAGCAACTACAACTACAGCTCGTTCTCGCAGAACGCGCCCAAATTCGCACCTCAACCGCCCAGCTACACCAATCAGTATAGTTACTCGAACACCAGCACCAAGCCTGCGTCTCCCGGTGCTTACGTGTCCACAAAGTCATTCGAAAGTCCTAGTCATACGAATAAAGCGTCGAACGCATCGCCGAAGCCGTTCGAGAAAACTTTCGATTACGTGAGCAGACCGCAAACGTTCAGCACGTTCTCGAAACCTCTGGAAGTCCAGAAGCCCACAACCGAGGGCTACACGACCTCTGATTACAGCACGAACACCTACAAAACCCCCGAGGGCTACAGAACCGACACCTACAAGTACGAGCATTACCAGTCGCAACCGCAAGTCCACTACTCGTCTTCCTCGGATAAGTACTACACCACTTCCCCAGGGGGCGCTCCACTCCCGACCAGTCCCACTTCCAGCAAGGACTTCGGCAAAAATGGCTTCGACAAACAGTATCAAACGTCCTACTCTACTTCTAACGTCGAGTACGTTAACGAGCCTCCAATAATTCACGACGACGACACGCTCGAACAAAAAATGCTTAAGAAATCCGTAACCAAGCAAATAATCGAGAAGAAAACCACCACAATGACTAAGTCGAGTAAGCAAGAATCTTCCACGAAAAGTTTTCGATTAGAATGATGCCTTATAGACGAAAATGCTTGAATGCTGCCAAAATACTACTTACTTAAATTGTACTGTATATTATTTTAATTAATAATTAAGTGTCCTTATTTGTTTATGGTGCTAATCCGTTCGCTTCTTTATCCGTGGATGTTATTTTTCAATTAACCAAATAAATTATGTTTTATTAAAATTATGTGCCAATAATAATTTAAGCTTTTTTTAGTTATTTAGGATTATACATACCTAATATATATTTTAATAGTTTTGTTGATTTTTTAAATTTGTACATTTTAATAATTTATAGTGTTTTAAACAAACTAAATTTGTTCATATTAGCAAATTTGTAAAGTGCCTACCACTGCTAAACTTGTGTATTATATAAGTTTTTCTTTTACTATAACAAGACTTGTAAGTGCCTAAAGAGTTTTATGTATGCATTTTAATATATACCTACCTATCTATACAATGGAATGTTTTATTATATTTATATAAGTACTCAATTTCATTAGCATTGTCCAAATAAAAAAGTTAACAAGAAAAAAATTCTTTTAATTTCCCTTTAGAATTTTTTCCCCCAAAAAACTATCATCCGAGTAAAATTCGGTTAATTTTAGAGGGTAAATTTAAAAAAATCAGTTTAAATTCAATTTTGCGCTTGGAAAAAATCATGCCAAGTTCTTTCAAACGAAAAAGCTGTAGCCCTCAAAAAGCGTCGATTTAGTATTTGATTAACCCCCTAGAAAATGTTAATACCTCCAAAAAAAACTAATAAAATTTTCAAAAATGTTTTCTTAATAAGTCAAAAACTGTCCATTTTTCGAGTACGAAAATCGGTTTATTTTTACACTTTCTCCCCTGTTTTTCTACTTTTTGTCGATTGGTAATAATCCGCCGATTGTATTCGCAATTGTTAATAATTATAATTATTAACAATTACAAATGCAATCGACGCATTATAATGACATTTATTTCTCCCGCTTTGAACAATCTTATTCCTTTCCTCCTGGTGCTTATGGTTCAACAAAGTCATTCGAAAGTCCTAGTCATACGAATAATTTATACCGACACCTACAAGTACGAGCATTATCAGTCGCAACCGCAAGTCCACTACTCGTCTTCCTCGGATAAGTACTACACCACTTCCCCAGGGGGCGCTGCACTCCCGACTAGTCCCACTTCCAGCAAGGACTTCGGCAAAAATGGCTTCGACAAACAGTATCAAACGTCCTACTCCACTTCTAACGTCGAGTACATCAACGAGCCTCCAGTAATTCACGACGACGACACGCTCGAACAAAAAATGCTTAAGAAATCCGTAACCAAGCAAATAATCGAGAAGAAAACCACCACAATGACTAAGTCGAGTAAGCAAGAATCTTCCACGAAAAGTTTTCGATTAGAATGATGCCTTATAGACGAAAATGCTTGAATGCTGCCAAAATACTACTTACTTAAATTGTACTGTATATTATTTTAATTATTAATTAAGTGTCCTTATTTGTTTATGGTGCTAATCCGTTCGCTTCTTTATCCGTGGATGTTATTTTTCAATTAACCAAATAAATTATGTTTTATTAAAATTATGTGCCAATAATAATTTAAGCTTTTTTTTAGTTATTTAGGATTATACATACCTAATATATATTTTAATAGTTTTGTTGATTTTTTAAATTTGTACATTTTAATAATTTATAGTGTTTTAAACAAACTAAATTTGTTCATATTAGCAAATTTGTAAAGTGCCTACCACTGCTAAACTTGTGTATTATATAAGTTTTCTTTTACTATAACAAGACTTGTAAGTGCCTAAAGAGTTTTATGTATGCATTTTAATATATACCTATACAATGGAATGTTTTATTATATTTATATAAGTACTCAATTTCATTAGCATTGTCCAAATAAAAAAGTTAACAAGAAAAAAATTCTTTTAATTTCCCTTTAGAATTTTTTCTCCCAAAAAACTATCATCCGAGTAAAATTCGGTTAATTTTAGAGGGTAAATTTAAAAAAATCAGTTTAAATTCAATTTTGCGCTTGCAAAAAATCATCCCATGTTCTTTCAAATGAAAAAGCTGTAGCCCTCAAAAAGCGTCGAGTTAGTATTTGATTAACCCCTAGAAAATTTTAACACCTCCAAAAAAAAATAATAAAATTTTCAAAAACGTTTTCTTAATAAGTCAAAAACTGTCAATTTTTCGAGTACGAAAATCGGTGTATTTATACATGTAGAAAGTGCACTTTATCCCCTGCTTTTCCACTTTTTTGTCGAGTGGTTAATAATCCGCCGATTGTATTCGCAATTGTTAATAATTATAATTATTAACAATTACAAATTCAATCGACGCATTATAATGACATTTATTTCTCCCGCTTTGATCAATCTTATTCCTTTCCTCCTGGTGCTTACGGTTCCACAAAGTCATACGAATAATTTAAAGCTTCAAACGCATCGCCTAAGCCGTTCGGAAGCCAGCAAGAGAAAACTTTCGATTACGTGAGCAGACCGCAAACGTTCAGCACGTTCTCGAAACCTCTGGAAGTCCAGAAGCCCACAAGCGAGGGCTACACGACCTCGGATTACAGCACGAACACCTACAAAACCCCCGAGGGCTACAGAACCGACACCTACAAGTACGAGCATTATCAGTCGCAACCGCAAGTCCACTACTCGTCTTCCTCGGATAAGTACTACACCACTTCCCCAGGGGGCGCTGCACTCCCGACTAGTCCCACTTCCAGCAAGGACTTCGGCAAAAATGGCTTCGACAAACAGTATCAAACGTCCTACTGCACTTCTAACGTCGAGTACGTTAACGAGCCTCCAGTAATTCACGACGACGACACGCTCGAACAAAAAATGCTTAAGAAATCCGTAACCAAGCAAATAATCGAGAAGAAAACCACCACAATGACTAAGTCGAGTAAGCAAGAATCTTCCACGAAAAGTTTTCGATTAGAATGATGCCTTTTAGACGAAAATGCTTGAATGCTGCCAAAATACTACTTACTTAAATTGTACTGTATATTATTTTAATTATTAATTAAGTGTCCTTATTTGTTTATGGTGCTAATCCGTTCGCTTCTTTATCCGTGGATGTTATTTTTCAATTAACCAAATAAATTATGTTTTATTAAAATTATGTGCCAATAATAATTTAAGCTTTTTTTTAGTTATTTAGGATTATCCCAATCAGCAATGGTCGTACAATGTACGTACATTTTTGATCCATATTATGTCCCTACGTCCAGGGACCTAATTTGTACGTACTACTAATGTACAAAAATGTATGTATTCTTCTGTACGCTGCTGTACGCTTTATGTACGTACATTTTTGGACAATGTTATGTTCCTACATTTAGGGACCTAATTTGTATGTATTAAGTACGCACATCAATATACATTCATAGACTATGAATCATAGTTTCTACTCCTACAGTCTGTGCTCTTTAAAGAGAAACCGATGAACCGAAAGATGACAAAGCCTTTATTACGGCGTTGCTGGAATTTTCACGCCAGACCAAATTATTAATAAAGTTGTTTTTTAACATATATAAACCTATAAATAATTTGGTCGGGATTACCTCGATAGAGCTAAATTCTCGCGACACTCCTCGTATATATCTTACTCGCAGATATTTGGGGATTTAGTAGAACTAGAGATTTCTCTAATTCTGTGCCTTCTTTACCTCTGAGTAGAACGCTTGACAAGGAGTTAGCAACGCTGACGCCCACGCCTTGCCGGCAAAGAAGGTGTTCTTTGCTTGCCGGCATCGGCAGCCATCTTACTTTTCAACAAGTTTATCGATAGTATCGATTTGTTTGGTTTTAACCAAAACAGGATTTTTGTTTGGTTTTTATGGACTGAAAATTTCAAAAAACCTCTGTTTATGGTTGTGTTGACACCGTAGTTACTGAATTGTTTTACAGTAAAGTGCTAAGTGGAACGCGGTTTGTGTTTGTGTTTTTAGTGCTAGTAAAAGCAGCGTCCTGTTTCCTCGTGGCCGTAGCCTTGCAGATGAGTGCCGATTTTTGTTGTATCTATAATTTTTTTACTTTTTATATAACCTTATAAGGTTAATTATAATAAATCCTTTGAGCAAAACTATATATATATAGTTTTGCTCAAAGGATTTATTATAATTAAATATAGTCAAGCCTAAATTTATTAATTGTCTGTATTATATGATATTAATCATATCATACAAACAGTCTAATTACTATATAGTTACTAGGTTTTTAAAAAGTACGGCAGTATATGTATGATTATAATTTTATTTTACAGAAGTAAATCAACTTGGTAAAATTGGTACAATTCAAGACACCGAAACATCGATTAGCAAATGGCTGAGAAGAGCTAATGACCAAAGCAAGGCAGGCAGCAAAAAATAATGTTCCTTACAATGACATGACTTAGTATACATATATACCTAATCCTAACTTTTATGTATATATATGTATCCATAATAATGTATAGTTCCTGAGTTTATCATTAAAATATATTAGAAATTTTTTATTTTTTTTTGGCTGCTACCCAGGTAGCACAATGACGTCTTAAATACGTCATTTTTTGGTCGGATCTGACGTCATGAGACGTCCCAACCGAGGTCCTAATGACGTCTTGTCGACGGTAAAATGTCACAGCCCAATGACGTCAGAGCGTGACGTACCAGTTACGTCAGACCATAACGTACCGATAACGTCAGGCTGTAACGTCCAATGACGTACCAATGACGTCATGCCGTAACGTCCAATGACGTTAAAATAAGCACACAAAGAAAGCAAATTGCATTCTACTGGCAATTGGCGCTCATAAGCGTCGATAACTGTATACTGTCGACGACGCTTATATGCGCATATTGCCAGTAAGCAAGCAATCGGCTTTCCTTGTGTGCGTATCTTTAGACCGTAAAGCACCAATGACAACAGACCAGAACATATTAAAAATACTAAGTGTGAAAAACAATTTATTAAAAAGACAATAAATAGAAATAACAAAACAGGAAATAAATTATTTTATTCTATGGTCATTATAATGTTTATATCCAAATAAGAAAAAATAAACTTAAAGCTTACATAAATTATTATTATCATTACTAATTTCATAAATTGCACCAGCTAGCTGCTCAGTTAAAGAAGGACCATTATTGGCGGGCTGTTTTCGCTCGATATTTGACAGAATTCTTTTATTTTGCTCTGCAATTGTTTCTAACAAATTTAGTACCTTTTTTATTGAAAGCTAAAAAAAGTAGTCTTTTGGCAAAAAGGATTAGTTACAAAGCCTGAACAAAATACCTGATTCTTCCAGGATTTGAATCCGTGAAGATGTCGGCAGGATTATTTTTAATTTCGTTGTCTTCAATTGAGGTACAACCTAATTTAATGCCCTCTTCTAAAGTTCGCCTTTTGAAATCACCTATTTTTGGGGGACGATGGAGCCACACTTCATTATCTTCCTCGGAATCTGAAGATACGTATCTTTTATGACCTAATTATTGTATGGACTGTAGCCTATTTTTATTGAAAAAGACAAACAAAAATTTTTGCACGTTAGAACAATTGGTGACCCAGTTCATTCAACCACACCACCACTTAAGGGTTAATTAATAGAAGCTTATTCATTCTTACCTAAAGTGTAAAAGCATCTTTTTATTTTAAATAGTTCCCATGTGTCCTTGGAATCTTCACCTTTACGTAAGGCTTTATTATGCTGGGATTTCTGTTTGTATGGAGGCCAAAAAACTTGGGTTTTAAGAGGGGTCATCCAATTGTCATGGACAACCGCCAATTTTCCCTCGTCATTACCTTCTTTTTGAGAAGAAAAGACATTTTTCACTAATTAAACAATTGAATTATTAATCATTATAAAATTTTGACAGTGGCGGCTGGTGGATTTTGGGCACACCCATATTTCAGTTATTAGACATGGGACCCACATCAACTTTATATGAGTTTATATACTTAGACAAGTTCTGCGCAAGCAGAATTTAAATTGAAGTTTGCGAAAAAAAGTTAGTTTTTAAGTGTGCCCCCCCAGCCTCCTGCCCATCCCCCAAAATTAAGATAATTCAGATTTTATACCATTTCTATTTTTTTTTTAAATTTAGTAAAAGAAATAATAAAAATTTAAAATGATATAAAACCTGTAATAAATAAATAAATAAATCGTTTATTAGCGAAAGCTATAAATGTTACATTTTATATATAAATATACTTATTATCACAATCCAAAATCAGAATTTTTTTAATAAAATTTGAAATATGTCAGTGAATTAAATATTGTACCACTTTAATTTAAATTATATTAATTTGGGGGGGCAGGAGGCTGGGGGGCACACTTAAAAACTAACTTTTTTTCGCAAACTTCAATTTAAATTCTGCTTGCGCAGAACTTGCCTATATAATGTCATTATAAACTCATATAAATTTGACGTGGGTCCCATGTCTAATAACGGAGATATGGGTGTGCCCAAAATCCACCAGCCGCCACTGCATTTTGATGCTTTGGCTTTGATTAACTTCAAAACAAAACCAAAACGTCAAACTAAAAAAATCATGCAAGCTGCATGATGCAACAAACAGATTTTGTTGGTTAGGTATGTCTTACAAAATCAACGTTACCCCAAAAAACAAGTTGGTTTTATCCCCTTTATGTTGTACTAATTTTTAAAACGCTTTTAATATTATTTAAACCTCATAAAGTTTAAATTGCACTTTATAAAACGACAAAGTGGGATTTTGTAGGTTAGGATATTTACAAAGGTTATAAAACGATTTAACAGCCAGACAACTTACCTTCTAGAAAATAATTTTCCGCTCGCCTAAAAAATCGCTTTCTACTTACACATAAAGCTTTTAAATGTGTTATATCCTATCCTATAACAAATAACACGATACACATAAACGTTCGTAAAGAAGTTCGTCAAACGAATATCGGCGCAATCGCGTAGCGCGGAAAACAATACCCATAACAGCAGAGCCATGCGCATGCGCGATTGGTTTCAAACGAGAATTGACCAGGTTCGCTAAAATTCAAATATAAAGCCAAAATAATTTTATAATTTCTACGAAAACCCTAATTTAGTAGGGTAAACTTAAAATTATTGTTTCGAAAATAGGAAAATTTAAATAAATATTAAAATTAACTTAAGTCGAAAATTATTTTGCATAAAAATCTTATTACTCTTCAAAGAGATCTAGGACCTTACATTACGTACGGACGACGTCTGATAATAGACGTCGTCGGACGTCATAAAATGTGACGTCGTCATAACGTCCTACATTGGTGATGTGACGTCGCCGACCAAAAATCACCTAAAAATGACGTCATTTAAACGTCAGCAGACGTCAGTGTGCTACCTGGGTAATTAAATGCGTTGGTATGCATTTTCATATAATATATTTATATGCATCTGCATTGATTTATGAGAATGCAGATGTCTAAGTCATTGCGGATGTTCCGCATTTGCGGATGCGAATATCCGCAACACCCCAGTATGTACGTCCAACAATACTCAAAATGTAAATTCAATGTACGTCCTATAAGTACGTACGTTCGACCTCCCTATACTAGGTACCGTGTACGTCCAAAAAAGTGGAAAACGGGTGTCTTATGTACGCGTACATTGTACGTTCTACGTCCAGTGCCGTACGTAATATGTACGAACCTTATGTCGTTCATGTACGAACATTGAACGTACAATGTATGTATCATTGTTGATTGGGATACATACCTAATATATATTTTAATAGTTTTGTTGATTTTTTAAATTTGTACATTTTAATAATTTATAGTGTTTTAAACAAACTAAATTTGTTCATATTAGCAAATTTGTAAAGTGCCTACCACTGCTAAACTTGTGTATTATATAAGTTTTCTTTTACTATAACAAGACTTGTAAGTGCCTAAAGAGTTTTATGTATGCATTTTAATATATACCTACCTATCTATACAATGGAATGTTTTATTATATTTATATAAGTACTCAAATTTCATTAGCATTGTCCAAATAAAAAAGTTAACAAGAAAAAAATTCTTTTAATTTCCCTTTAGAATTTTTTCTCTCAAAAAACTATTATTCTAGAAAAAGGTAAGTAGGGTATGAATTTTGCTATGTGCGGTAAATTGTTCAGAAAAATCCGAGTAAAATTCGGTTAATTTTAGAGGGTAAATTTAAAAAAATCACTTTAAATTCAATTTTGCGCTTGGAAAAAATCATGCCATGTTCTTTCAAACGAAAAAGCTGTAGCCCTCAAAAAGCGTCGATTTGGTATTTGATTAACCCCCTAGAAAATGTTAATACCTCCAAAAAAAAATAATAAAATTTTCAAAAATGTTTTCTTAATAAGTCAAAAACTGTAAATTTTTCGAGTACGAAAATCGGTGTATTTTTACACTTTCTCCCCTGCTTTTCCACTTTTTTGTCGAGTGGTTAATAATCCGCCGATTGTATTCGCAATTGTTAATAATTATAATTATTAAGAATTACAAATGCAATCGACGCATTATAATGACATTCATTTCTCCCGCTTTGATCAATCTTATTCCTTTCCTCTTGGTGCTTACGGTTCCACAAAGTCATACGAATAATTTAAAGCGTCAAACGCATCGCCTAAGCCGTTCGGAAGCCAGCAAGAGAAAACTTTCGATTACGCGAGCAGACCGCAAACGTTCAGCACGTTCTCGAAACCTCTGGAAGTCCAGAAGCCCACAACCGAGGGCTACACGACCTCTGATTACAGCACGAACACCTACAAAACCCCCGAGGGCTACAGAACCGACACCTACAAGTACGAGCATTATCAGTCGCAACCGCAAGTCCACTACTCGTCTTCCTCGGATAAGTACTACACCACTTCCCCAGGGGGCGCTCCACTCCCGACTAGTCCCACTTCCAGCAAGGACTTCGGCAAAAATGGCTTCGACAAACAGTACTGTATCAAACGTCCTACTCCACTTCTAACGTCGAGTACATCAACGAGCCTCCGGTAATTCACGACGACGACACGCTCGAACAAAAAATGCTTAAGAAATCCGTAACCAAGCAAATATATTTATCGATTATAATCGAGAAGAAAACCACCACAATGACTAAGTCGAGTAAGCAAGAATCTTCCACGAAAAGTTTTCGATTAGAATGATGCCTTATACATGAAAATGCTTGAATGCTGCCAAAATACTACTTACTTAAATTTTACTGTATATTATTTTAATTATTAATTAAGTGTCCTTATTTGTTCATGGTGCTAATCCGTTCGCTTCTTTATGTGTGGATGTTATTTTTCAATTAACCAAATAAATTATGTTTTATTAAAATTATGTGCCAATAATAATTTAAGCTTTTTTTTAGTTATTTAGGATTATAAATACCTAATATATATTTTAATATGTAAAATAAATAAATTAATAAATTATTAAAATGTACAAATTTAAAAAATCAACAAAACTATAGTTTTGTTGATTTTTTAAATTTGTACATTTTAATAATTTATAGTGTTTTAAACAAACTAAATTTGTTCATATTAGCAAATTTGTAAATTTAAGTGCCTATCACTGCTAAACTTGTGTATTATATAACTATAAACTATAGTTTTGTTGATTTTTTAAATTTGTACATTTTAATAATTTATTTATTTTACATATTAAAATATATATTAGGTGTGTATAATAGGTATACCTACCTATACAATGTACTTGGAATGTTTTATTATATTTATATAAGTACTCAATTTAATTAGCATTGTCCAAATAAAATAGTTAACATGCATCTCTCTTAATTTTCCTTTAGAATTTTTTCTACCAAAAAACTGTTTCATTCTAGATTTTATTATTATTTTTGAAAAAAGGTAAGTAGGGTATGAATTTTACTCTGTGCGGTAAATTGTTCAGGAAAATCCGAGCAAAATTCATCATTCAGAATACAGTTTGACTGTACTAAAGGTAATTATTCAATTATTGAGTAGTTGTTTTTTTATAAATTTAATTAACCGAATTTGTGAATTCCCAGGAATTTAACAAAATAATGAAGAAGCCAATATTTTGCTCCATGATTTTGTCGCTCAGTGTACTCAAAATCCCCCAAACCATTTACCGAATCGCCAATGGATGGCGCTGTTACAGTTTTCTGTAATTTCTAACAAACTTAAGGGAGAGTTGATTTACAAAACACAAATGTCAGCCATCTTGGTAATTATCTGTGGATCAAAGCGATGTGATGGTGTGTTTCGGCTTTTAAACGACAAATTTACACTGTAAAAAAAATCAAAATAAACCCAATTCACCATAGAAAACGTAAACAATACGTGCGTAAACTGTCAAAACAACGAGATTATTTGAAATACATAATGCGTTTATATTTTAGATATTGCAATGAACGGTGAAGAACCGAAGGAAATCGAAATGATCAGCATCAGCGATATTTGCAGACTTTGTGCGAATCAAAGCGAAAAATTAATTGGAATTTACACTGAAGATGGGTGTTCAAATGATTTGGCAAACAAAATGAACTTGTATTTGCCCATTAAAATAAGCGAAACGGACGATCTTCCTTTGCAATGTTGTTGGCAGTGTGCATCGACTTTGTTAGCATGGCACGATTTGGTTGTCACAACAGCTGATACTGATCGGAAGCTAAGAAGTTGTCAGCTGGTGACGGAGAAGCAACTGCTCGAGAATATTTATCAGGACACTGTTATTTCTGAGGAACCAAGCACAGAGTAAGTTTTATTTTTAATTATAAAAAACGTAGATATTTTTATTAGGTAATTTGTTCACAAAAATAATTGTTTTTTTTACCACATATTCAATATGTGTAAACTAATCTTAAAGTTTTTAATTAAAAATAAGGGTTAAATGAAATGAATTTAAAGGAAAAAGAATTTAAAAACCTAAAAATAAAATAAAGTAGGTAATAAATAGCACAATCTAGGGATGCACCGGAGTTACTGCTCACCTACTGCCTCCGGCCGATCCGGCCTATGCGGCAGCATATCCGGCTCCGGCCAAATTTTTAAACTGATCCGGCAACAACGGCCGGATTGTGGCCGGATTTTTTAAATTAAAAATAAAATATTTTTTCAAATGTTTATTATAAAAAAAAATATACTCTTTTACAAGTAACAAACATTTTTTTTTAGAAATAATTTAAAAATAGATTAAGGATTAAATTTCATGATTTAAGCGAACATAAGATAACGAAGTCCTTAAGTTATAGTGCAAAAATTCGAGTTGTTCACCTTTCTCGGGAAGAAATCGGCTATGCGCAGTTAACAGGTGATCGTATCTATGCGCACTAACTAACAGACGCCGTACGTATGCGCAGTGGTTTTCAGATGGTTGTATTATACCTATTATAATTATTGTACCTATGTTTTTTAATTATTATAACTTTTAGATTAGGTATATTAATAAATAATATATATTTATTTATTTTTATGTTACCTATTTATTATTTTTTTAAACGTTTTATAAAGATATACTTTTTAATATATTATTGGTTTTAAAAACTTTTATTTATTGATAAATATATATGTTTTTGTTTTTTCCCCTAAAATAGCTATTTAACGAACTCATTTAAGTCCGTAAAATAATTCTTTTTTTGTACTAGTACGAAAAAATTGCTATGGAAACTTTTGCAACATGGTTCTTGAACCATTGCAATACAACAATTAAAAATAAAATTCGATAATAACCTTAATTTCGAGAAATAGGTATTTACTCTATTTAAAAATATGAATATATGGACCTAGAACAAAAAAATGTTGTTTGCAACATGTACCTAAAAATCATGTTTTTTAGGACGAATCGTAGATGTTTGCGGTCGAGGCGAAGCCAAAACCAGAACAGCCGATGTTACAAAAATAGCTATAATAATACGTATATACATATGTATAATTATATTACTTTTTAACTAATATAATATGTGTATATATATTTATATATACACATATATCAGTTTTAACGCGCCAAAATAACAAGTAGGCACATGACAAAAACCTGGTGTAAAAATAAAAAAGACAATGCGCCACCTAATAATGATTACTTATAAGGTGGGCAGGTACCTAAAATATAAACACTTTTATTTATTTTTAATACGACTAGAATGCATGCGTAAAATGCAAGGTCTGTCAATTTTTCTCCTTGTTTTAAAAGACAAATGTTAATTTACTTTACATGTATTGTTGGTTGCCTGTTCGGGAACAGGATCCCCACATACCACATCAACACGTAATTGGTAACTAAGTGCAAGATTTGCATAATACTGAAACAGAAACTACACCTGCCTGTGTAAAAACACTAAGATCCGGCCGACTCCGGCGAAATCCGCCAAAATCCGGCCGGAGTTAATCCGGCCGATGACGCCGGATTACTGCATCCGGTAATCCGGCCAAAATCAAATCCGGTGCATCCCTAGCACAATCCACACAACAAGGTCTGTTCAATCTTGTAGTAAAAATAAAGGGTGATTCATTTAGAGGTACTTTTTTCATTAGAGATTTTATGGCAGATCAGGCGTGCATTGTGTCAAACTGTCATGGTATTTTCGTTAAGTATTGTTTGACATTTTATCATGGAAAGACTTAGCACGGTACAGTGTCTACAAATTATTCAACTGTATTACGAAAATCAGAGTTCTACGAGAAATGTATTTCGTGCGCTTAGAGCAACTTATGGTCCACATAATCGGCCTACCGAACGAACAATTCGCTGTACCATCCAAAAATTTGAAAGCCAATTTTCATTATTAGATAATAAGCGACCAAATAGACCACATCCAGCACATAGTGAAGAAAATATAGCAGTGTACGCGATGACCGTGATGAATCGATTCGGCGCCGTTCTCAACAGCTTGGCTTGTCATATGCAACAACTTGGCGTATTTTACGTAAGGATCTTGGTTTAAAAGCATACAAAATTCAACTCGTGCAAGATCTTAAACCGGCCGACCTTCCAAACCGTCACCGTTTCAGTCTTTGGGCTCTTGAAAAGCTTGAAAAAGATCCACTGTTTTCGACCAAAATTTTATTCAGCGATGAGGCCCATTTCTGGCTTAATGGCTGATATCGTTCTATCCCTAGTTTATGGGCTGGTGGGATTATCGGTCCATATTTCTTCAAAAATGAGGCCGGCCGGAACGTAACTGTGACTGGCGCCCGTTATCGCGTCATGATAAGGGACTATTTGCTGCCTGAAATTGAAGCCTGTGATCTCGACAACATTTGGTTTCAACAAGACGGCGCTAGTTGCCACACAGCCCATGAAACTATGGCTTTATTGCGGGAACAATTTGGCGAACAGTTAATTTCCCGCTTTGGACCGGTGAATTGGCCGCCTAGGTCATGTGATATCACACCTCTGGACTTCTTTTTTTGGGGCTACGTAAAGTCCAAAGTCTACATGGATAAGCCCGCTACGATTGATGAATTGGAAGCCAACATTACTCGAATTATTGGCCAAATACCACTTGAAATGCTCCAACGCGTCATCAAAAATTGGAATTTCAGAATGGACCATCTTAGCCGCAGTTACGGCCAACATTTAAAAGAAATAATCTTTAAAAAATAAATGTAAAGAACGGTTCTTTTTCGTGATAATATAGTTTACCTGATAAAATTTAATTTTGTTAGTTTTTTTTATTTTTTAAAAAAGTACCTCTTAATGAATCACTCTTTACTAAAAATCACTGCAACACTGCACATCATCCAATGGCGGCCATTTTTGTTGTTTACAATTCTTGTGCTTTGGGTTTAAACCCAACAATTGTACTGATTAATAATCGTTTTAAACGTTGTGTTTCTTACAGAGAGACTTGCAAGCCTTAAAAAGACCTCAAAGTGGTAAGAACAATCATTTTACTCCTCTTGTAAAAAATAAACCCTATTCTATCAGGGCTGTCAAATGTCAATTTAAAGGTTAATTTGTGGGTTATAAAATAACCTTAAATTAACCTTCAAATTGACATTTGACAGCCCTGATAGAATAGGGTTATAGATTGTTCTTACCACTTTGAGGTCTCTTTTAAGGCTTGCAAGTCTCTCTGTAAGAAACACAACGTTTAAAACGATTATTAATCTGTACAAACCCAAAGCACAAGAATTGTAAACAACAAAAATGGCCACCATTGGATGATGTGCAGTGTTGCAGTGATTTTTAGTATTTTTACTATGAGATTGAACAGACCTTGTTGTGTGTATTGTGGGTAATAGTATCAAATTTGATAAACTCCATTTTAGTCATGATTTTTAATAAAATGATGTCTAAAAAAGTTTATAAACAAGTTGCATTTATACCTATAGGTACTATACTTTTTCTAACATTTATAATATAAAAAATAGTTTGACGTTTTAGTCACGGGCTGAAGTTAGCAATAGTAGCTTTTGGGCATTTTATGGGGCTGAAGTTAGCTTTAATATAATTTGTGGAAAAGTGGTTAAATCCGTTCGCATTTGACAGATTTCAAATGTTTAACAAATAAAATGTTTTTTAAATTCTTCTTTGTGTTCGTCGTAAATAAAATAAAGTATGAAACTCGTTTTATAAACTTCCCTAGATACTAGTTTTTATTAAACACTCGCTTGCAGGCTTCGCTCGTGCCTAATAAAACTCGTAACTGAAATGTCATAGATAATATAATAATAATGTATATTTGATCCTTAAAAATTACATACATAATACCCATAGGGTGTGGATCATATCACAGTATTTATATAAATTGTAGACAATAAAAACAACACATTCAATAAACAAAACCTTGGTAAAATACACTGTAATCATTGAGTAAAGAATGCTGTAATGATGCTTTAATTTGTAATAAAATATTAATTTGTTAATTAAAATACGTTTTACTTTTACTTTGTTGGCACTGCTGAATTTGCTGTCACGGCCACAGACAAACTACTTACTACCTCGGCCGAAAATACGTTGTTTCGTCCCCCATTGGAATCGGGGACGAAACAACGTATTTTCGAGTATATTACACTGTAAGGGCTACGAAGGCTTCGCTCGTGTCGCAAATGTCGGGGCAGGCATCAATATGTTTCGATATACACATTTAATTTTTTCCCGTATTTTCGGCCGGGTTGGGTTGGGTAGCAAGAAAAATAGTATACACTACACGGGCAGAAAGTGTGCCCGTCTGCCTTTCTAGTGTAATATACTATTGTCTGTGGTCATGGCCTATTGTTATTTATTTATAATGGAGATAATACCTTTACATTAAAATTTGAGTTTTTTTGCAATGATTTAAAAAAATCGATAGTTTTTTTTATTGTGTTGTTTTTATGTAATTTATTGAAAACCGCCCAACAAAATCGATCACCTCGTTTTTTAAAATTATAATTAACAAAACATAATTAATAAACTTACTGAACGTATTTTTTTTGCTTCTGGTAGTAGGTTATTTATTGTTTAAAATTAACCAAACTCTGTTTGTTCCGCAGGGTTGTTCCGGAACCAGACAACTCACTGACCTACTACCAGACCGAAAAAATTACCGAGGAAGACGCAGATAATTCGCCGGAAAAACAACTCAAATTAAGTGATAAAAGTTTTGACTCGTCCTCGATTGACAGTTTCGTCTTGAAAAACGCAGAGTTATTGGACGACGAAGGCTCCAATAGCAACGATTTCGATAGTAATTTAATAGCCATCGATAAAAAAGAAATTGTCGGTTTAAATAATGAGGAAAATACGGCTGTGTACGAGTACAGTTGCCAAG